TTATTAATTAAAACTAAGTTATTTTAAAAAAATAAGGTTAATCTTATATATAATAATTATAATATAATTTAATATTATTTTTATATACGCTTTACTATTTTAGTTTTTAATAAACCCGTTTTATTAGTACTATTTTATTATAAACTAAGTTATATAATATTTATATTATACTTATTATTTTATAATTTATTTTAATACTTCAGGAGATAAGTAAGTATTATTAATTATAAGTAATGTATTTATAAATAATAAAGAAACCTAATACTTATTTTAAGGATATATAATTTTTTTAATAAACTTATTTAGTAAAAAGCTATAAAATAAAATATAATAATAATTTTAATAACTAAAGCTAAACTACTTAGCTTAGAATATATTATTAAAAAGACCTTTATTTTAAAATACTTATTTAGTAATATATTACTTAAGCTTAGTAATATTTAAAAGTTTATTATAATAATTATTAAATAATTAAACTTATAATAAAAGGGAACGTATTTTAACTTATTTTTATTACGTTAATATTTAAAATATATAATTATATTAAGAGTAAAAAATCTTTTAAATAGTTTATATATTAATAAATAAAATATTAACTAATAGTTTTTTTTATAAAAAATTTTTATAAGCGAAGTTTAAGTATTTTATATTACTTTTAAATATAAAAGATATATAAAAATAATTATATAAAAAAAAAATACTAAAGAAATAATAAAATACCCAGGTAACGGGTTTTAATTTATAAATATAACTTATAGCTAGGAGTATAAAATTATTTTAACAACCTTATTAAGTTATTATAAAAAATTTATTTAAAAAAATAAGTACGTATTTATTTAAAAGGATTTTAACATAAGTATTACGTCCTGAGGATATAAATATTAATAAATTAATTTTAATTTAAATATTATTAATTTTATAAACGAAGTTTTAATACTTTTATATTTTTAACTAACTTTTTAATTTAGTTTTAAGTAAAAAAAGTATTAATAAATACTTCTTTACCCTAGCCTTATTTATACAAGCTATTTTACTCTTATTCTTATTAAAGTACTTATTAATAATTATAGCCTTATATAATACATACGTTATATAAGTTAGGTCTTAGAAATAGTTAGTAATTAATTTAAAATAACAGTATATATAAAAATTAACTTTTATAATATTATTATACTATTCTTTTTTTACTTATTTAAAATATAAAAATTTTTATTTAGTTTATATATACGTTTTTAAGGGAATATAATTAAATTTTTATTAGTTTAATAATATATATATTTATTATTAGTATTTAAGCTTAAGAAGTATTACCCTCTATTCGTTTATTAAGGGCGCTTTTAATATAACTTACGTATTTAAAATTAAATAATAATAGTACTTATTTAAAAAGTTTTTAATATTAGGAGTACTAGAGGGTATATTATTAAAAATTAGAATTATAAATAATAATATTAAAGAAAGAATAGTATATTTATAAGGAACTACTTTATACTTATTAAGAGGGCGAGGAGGGCTCTAAATTACTCTTATTTTTACCCTCTTTTTAAATAATTTTTTTAACTTATTAACTATTATTTATAAATAAGAACGTTAATAAGTTTAAAATTAAGTTATAGTACGATATTATTATTTTATTAATTAATATTTAGTATAAAAATAAATTATATACTTAGAAACGGATTATTATTAAGAGCAGGGAGCTATTACTTTTTTAAGTTTATTTTAAAATACTTAGTTTTATATATTATAGTAGTATAAGTACGCTTTTTAACCTAGGTTTATTTACTTATTTATTTTAAATAATAATATTAGTTAAAATTTATACTCCTAAGTAACGGTATATATATAAACGTAGTTACAGGGTTAAGGTTAAAAATAAGGGTATATATATATAATTAGTTTTATTATATAGGTTAAAGAGGAAAAGAAAGTTAGAGTAATAAGCGGTTATAAAGAATTTATTTACTTACTTATTTTAAATTAAAAGTTAATTATTTAATTAATAAAAAGCTACCCTCGGTTTTACTTATTATTAATAAGAGAGCCTCGAGATTATTTATAATAATAAATATAATTAATAAATTATTATTTATTTACCTTATATTTATAACTAAGTACGTAGTACGATTTATTTTATAATTCTTTTTATAATTAGATTTTTATATAGTATTATTTAAATTTATACGTTTAGTAACTCTTTTTATAATAATATAGGTAGTTTAGTACGCTTTTTTTAAATAAGGATTTATCTAGGGGGGTATATTATAATAGCTTTAACTATCTATAGTCTTACTATATATTACATAACCTCGGTTATATAATTACCGAGGTCTATACTCGCTTATACCCTCTATTTTAGAGCGAGTCTCGTGCCTATTTCCTATTTTTAATAGATAACCGTTCTCTATATTTAACGTCGATGCCCCTATTGTGACTATACGACACTACCTATGTGAATAAATTGCGCATGAGGCATCCTATCAAAAGTAAGTAGTGACCATATGACTTGACAAAGGCAACTGTACTTTTCAATTAATGCTGTAAATGGCTAATGGCAGCGCATTTCGCTGTGACACATAAGAAGAATTTTCATATCAAACATGAATACCTATCAACACAGTGACCTCGTGTGGCCTACGTCAACGGAGTCACGCAGTGGGCCCATGTCACTCATACACCGGATCACATCTTTGCTTTTCCCAACGCCCAGCCTACGCCAGGAAGGAATGGTGGGTGATCTGAGGATCGCGCTAGCCATCCAGCTCTCCAAGGCTTTGCGGTAAATAGTCACTGCCCTGACGCAGAGGACAGAACTCGTAGAATAGACAAAAGCGTACCTAGTATATCAAGGCTATGGTCGCCTCTCAAAATTGTCTACCCGCTTTTCCATGCACAAGCTTTGATTGAAGCAGTGCAAATCGATACTTGGCAGCCCGTGTTATACGCACGTAGCGATGGCTGACAAGCTACCATCTTCGATTATCAGGGGAATCGCGTCGCTGGCGGTACTTTTTCTCCTCGCTACTATATTCCTTGTTCTCAGGATATATACTCGAATTGTTCAAAGTCAGCTCGCTGTTGATGATTACTGCCTAGTGGTGGCATGGGTGAGAACTCGCCGAATCCTTTCCAGAAGCATATCAGTTCTGACTATTCAACACAAACTTCAGATACTTTTTACTGCCCAATTGTTCCTCCGTATTGTGCTTCTCAGTCGGGCCACATTTGCGGCGATCCTCACTATTCATGAATTGGCCGTAATTAGTAAGTCAGCTGCGGTACTATGTAACCTGGCATGGGGACTCAGTAAGACATCATTCGTCTTTACCTTTATGCGCCTAGTCACAGGACCTTTACGATGGGTATTGTGGTTTATAGTACTCTCGATGAACCTATTCATAGCGGTCTGGTTGCCACTATTTCTGAACCCCTGTGTTGCGGGTGCGTCTCCGCCATGCTGGCCGCTCGAGATGTCGATTAACCTCGGTATTTTTGTTGGTGGTAAGCGCCTCCATACAAGCTAGGTTCAGTTTTCGTATTACTAAACTCATCTCAGCATATTCTGCGTTCATGGACTTCTTCTTGTCACTGTTGCCTTGGAAAATAGTTTGGCCTATGCATCTCAGCACACGTGAAAAGGTCGGAATCTGTGTAGCCATGAGCATGGGAATATTGTGAGTTTCTTCCAAAACGAAGTATAACAGGGCTTAGGTGTTCTTACCACACATGGGACATGTAGTGCTGGTGCAACTGGAGTGGTCAAAGTTATATATCTCTTCGGATTTGATTCATTAAGCGCGGGTAAGTTAATATCGAACTGGTTTTCCTTGTCCCGATACTCATGGAATTTATCTATTACTTCGATCTGACGCTAGTACAATACATCGCTAGATACGCTCAACCATCTGTTCGTCTGGGAAAGCGCCGAGATATCAGCTACGATCATGGCAGTTTCTATTCCAATGCTTCGGAAGCTTGCTTTCAGCTTTAAGGCCAGGGATACTTCACGTAGTGAAGATACTCTACTGTCCGTCTTTCAGAGGCAGTTACGCATTGCTGGTCTAGGAAGTACAAATACTAGACATACTACGGATCAAGCTTTCACGTCTCCCAGCGTTTCGCAAGTGTAGGAAAGACTCAGGTATTTGAGTTACTCCAAAAGTTTACTTAGTAAAATACTGAATACGAAATCAGTAGAACTATTTCACTAATATTTCAATAACTTTCTCCTAAGACAAACAAGTACTGCATGAATTACGGGGTTGAACTTCCTAAGTGCTGTTGCATAATATAGCATACTCTCCTGTCTTCAAATGCGGTCTTGACGGTTTGCTGCTGAACAATTGCCTTTGGATCAGTTGTTGGATTCATCGCTTTGTAAGCCTTTTCTGTCACTGACGACTTTCTAGGTGGCTTCTCTGAATGAATCTGGGTTTCTGAGAGTTGCTGCCAGCCTAACCTATTCTCGTAGCCCTCTGGTGGACCAGCTCTATTAACCCTGTAAAGAATTGCACGCGAGAAACCCCAATAACAGCATCGGAGTTCTCACTTTTGGATGTTCATGATGCGAGGTGTAATCTGGGCATGTAATTAGTGCTGGAAGAACTTATTGTGGATAAACATGATCATATTGACTGACTATGATGTGTTCCATCGAAAATCCCTTATTTGAGTTATGTACTGTAGATTCCTAGGTCCCTATTGCCTAGATTATTGTGGGCCTCGATCGCTCGTTTACAAAGTACTTGCAAAGAACTTGCCCTTTTGCGCGACTTAAGGCAATTGAAGAGAGCGCGTGGTACGTCACACTCACTGATGGGCTGAACAATGTACGTATATCTGTATTACAACATGGCTCCTTGTTCCGTAGTTCTTCCACAAACGGATATTTTCGCCTACAAAGGTTAAATAGTCGTGAGTGAGTTCTATCGCGACCCTCGCCAGCGAGCTGTTCTCCTTCTCATTGATGGCAGACATTCATACTGCCTTACTTGTACACAATGGAACTCGGACCGGTTGTTTCCCACCCAGCCAGCGCCGCTTCAGGCCCAACGTCAACAACTGCGGAACCTGTCAACTCGACTCCAACAAAAAGCAGATCGGCCGCCATCATCTTTTCCATTACATGCATCACCGGAATCAGCAACCTTTTGGCCGGCTTGCTGACAGTGTGCATACCGGTAATTGCGGCGGACATAGGCATACCAGCTGGCCTTCAACTATGGCCAGCTTCTGCTTTTGCGCTGGCATGTGGCTGTACTCTACTCCTTTGCGCCACGGCTGCTGACCTTCTCGGTTGCCGGCGCGTCTGTCTTTTAGGTGCCCTGCTCCAAGCCGGCAGCGCCCTAGGCGCAGGTCTCTCCCAAACTTCGACCCAGCTCATCGCACTGCGCGCTTTTGCGGGTGTCGCGGCGTCAATGTGCTTGCCCAGCGCCGCAGGCATCGTATCGTCAGCTTTCCCTCACAGCACCAGGCCGCGTACACGCACTGCTGCTTTTTCTGCTATGGGCGGTGGCCAAGCCGTTGGGTTTGGACTAGGTCTTGCCCTTGGCGGTGTTTTTAGCGGCACTGTCGGGTGGCGATGGGGTTTCCATGCCACTGCGATTCTTAACGTTGTCGTCCTGGCCATTGCTCTGTGGGCACTTCCAGTAAGCGTTGATGACGCTGCGCCTTTGGGCTGGGAAACTCTCACCCGCTTGCGAAAAGAGCTGGATTGGATCGGGGCATTGATCATCAGCATGAGCCTGGCTTTCATGTCCTATGTGCTGGGAATCGTTACGGACTCTGATGCGGGCAAGCATATGCGTCAACCACTCAATATCGTGCTTCTCGGCACGGGTGTGGCCCTCTTGCCTGTCTACGTCTTTTGGATGCACCACCAAAAGCTACGAGGGCGGCCAGCTCTGATACCAAACGAGTTGTGGAAAAACGAACCATTCACTTCAGTGTGCTTCACAGTTTTCCTTGTTTGGGGTGCACTCAACGCCAGCGAGCAGCTCACGGCACTTTACCTCCAGGACGTTCGTGGTTTCTCGACGTTGACGTCGTCCTTGTACTTCCTACCGGCACCCGTCTGCGGCATTCTCACGAATATCGCCGTTGCGGTCTTCCTGTCACGTCTCAGAGCATCCTACGCCGTGCCCGTGGCTTGTTTCGTGAGTGGACTCGCTCCGCTCCTGCTGGCAGCATTGTGTAGGGTCAATGGCCCCAGCTACTGGGAGGCCGTCTTCCAAGCAATGGCCATCAATCCTATCGGAGCAGACATGATGTACACCATCGCCATGTTGGTCGTGACCGACGCATTCCCGGCCAAGACGCAAGCCCTGGCGGGCGGTGTATTCAACATGGTCGCCCAGATTGGTAAAAGCGTCGGCATTGCCACGACCGCTGTCATAGCGCAGCAAGTGTCTTCACCGCTTACAAAAAGCGTTGGTGCAAAGGAAGCACTGCTTCGAGGTTACCATGCTGGTTGGTGGTTCAGTTGCGGGCTGAGTTTTATTTCTGTAGCCGTGAGCCTATGGGGGTTGAGAAGTGTTGGAAGACTAGGTGTGAAGCGAGACTAAGAATTCAGGTTCAGAGAAAGGGATAGGAGCACAGTCTCGAGATACCTGAGCAGCATGTTCCAATATGAATCTTTAGCTGACATTTCTGATACTTTCCTGATTGGATTCCCAATGGCACACAGCAATACCACAAAAAGCCGCCGTAATTAATCCCTTTTCGGGTCTTCTTCTTGAAGATATCGGCATTGTGATGATAGCAGAGAAACTTGATAAGATTACCAAAGCCACCTCACATGGAGCAAATGCCTTGCTAGTCCCACTGCTCACGCACATCCGACTGGGCGGCAAAGCGTTCCTCCCAGTTTGAGCCAAACAAAGACTCAGCTTGTGCCCTCAATAGCTTATCCTCGTCGGCATGCTTCTGCAAGCGCCCTTGAATCCATTGATCTTTCTCGGCCCGACCACTTATACCATGGAGTTCTTTGATGTCGTTCCTAATCTCAGCAGCTATCTCCATAGCCGCCACGCGACTAGCTTCTGCAGCTTTCAGACCTTCTCGAGCCATGCTAATAACCTTGTCAAGCTCTTCCTTCTCCCCTTTAAGCTCGTCCGGGCGTCTCTTGGCGGCGGCGCGGCCGCGGGTCCCGGTTTCGATCTGTCGCTCTAGGAAGGCAATATCGTCTTGGATTTTGGACAGGCGAAGTTGAATGACAGGCATTTTCTGTTCCTCGATATCTCGTATCTGGCTCTGGGCGGTGAATTGTTCCTGCATCTGGGCGTTGAGTCGCTCGAAGAGAGAGCACTCGAAAGTGACCAGGTCTGTGTGCGTTTTCGAAGTGCCGCATCCATGGCAGGGTCCGAGTTCGTCGAAGGCCCCTGTACGGCTAGCAGAATGCGACAGGTAATTCATTTGGATAATAGAAGGCGCTTGCTCAGTAGTTGGCGTTGGCGAGGCTGTTTGAAGTTGAGTTTCGTATAGTTCGATTGACTATGTGTGTGTAGTTTTGAATGCGGTGTCCAAATCACCCAAAAGCCCCACAGTCGATTGCAATGGGATGTACGAAATCATGTTCTGTTGAGGACTGATTGAGGATGAATTGAGGATTGATTGAGAAACGATTCGGGAACGATTCGGGAACATCTTAGAGAGGACTGGACTATGATTGGAGCATTCATTAGATAAGGTTTGGATAAGTATTTGCTCTTTTTAAAGATCCTGGGGAAAGCTCTTAATTCATGTACGAAGCTGCCATGCTTGTATAGATTCAAACGCCTTTACTTTGAATTACCCTCAAAATACGAACCAGTGTCGAAAGGAAACGTATTGATACTTAGACGTTATCCTGTGTCAGGGGACTAATCTGAACATCATTTCAGCATCCACCTTAAGACCACACTAGATGTAAAGTGACAAGGTACCTGAGGTACCTGAACCATACGTCCACGAACAGAGTGTCATAGAAACTCGGAACATCAACAGTGGGGATGAGAATACTGACAATCATAAAGGTAGTAACGATGATGCACATGATGAAGACCATTTGTATAGAGATATTAGAAGACGTGTTTGAGTCACAATAACCGTAAGGTACCACGAGAAGCCGTCGGAGTGGGATGGGGGCCATGCTGAAGCCCATGGACCAATGAGAGTCGGTTATTGTGGTGAGCCATGATGATTCATAGTGGGCCTTGAAGTGTTGCTGGGCGGAACAGAGCTCTTCGAAACAATTGGTATTGGGTCACTTATCGAGACTTATTAATACTAGTATGCAGGTCTCGCCCCGGAGGCCACGAGCTGACGGCCAACTCTTTCCGACTTCACATCTTTCAGCATTACTCTAGTACATAAACACCGACATCTTCAATTTTCTAGCAAAGCGATTGCACTTCTTGGTGTTCGTTTCCATCAAGTCACTTCAAGCAGCATGGTCATGAACGAATCGATCGAGATTCTGGGCCAACAGCCTGGTCTGAAGATCTACACCCAGATAGCGGTCTGCTTTTCCGTTAAGGATGATCAGTCATACGCAAACATCACCAAGACTCTGTCAAGCGGTCTCGAGCGGCTTACTGCGAGTTTTCCATGGGTTGCAGGACAGATTATTAATGAGGGCGCGAGCGAAGGTAACACAGGCATCTTCAAGATCGTTCCACATGAAGCAACCCCGCCCTTGATCATCAAAGATTTGAGAAAGGACCCGGCAGTATCGTCGATGAACAACATGAAAGCTTCACAGTTCCCCTTCAGCATGCTGGACGAAAGCGTCATCTGTCCTCGCCCGACTCTTCCTATCGACCCAAAGCTGGTAGGCAAGCCTGAGCCAGTCCTCATTACCCAGGCCACCTTCATCAAAGGCGGGCTCATTCTCGCTTTCCTCGGCCACCATCAGGTACTTGATGGCACCGGGCAAGGACAGCTCATCAAACTCTTGTCCAAGGCGTGCAAGGGCGAGGAATTCACCGAGGAGGAAGTAGCAACCGGAAACCTGACACGCCATAACATCATTCCCCTCCTCGAAGACTACAAGGGCGGACCCGAGACTGATGCGATGATCAACAAGCCCTCGGCAACGCCAGCAGCGACACCTGCCACATGCAGCTGGGCCTACTTTGACTTTTCGTCAGCGTCTCTGTCAGCCTTGAAATCCTTGTCATCAGAGACAATCAAGTCAGGGTACATCACAACGGACGATGCCGTCACCGCCTTCGTCTGGCAGTCAATCAGTCGCATTCGTGCGAACCGCCTACCTCACGAAGCGGAAACTAAGCTTGCTCGAGCTATCAATGTGCGAGGATATATGGGCATCCCTCAAACCTTCCCGGGGCTCATCCAGAGCATGACGAATAACTCTATGGCAATCAAGGACCTCGTCGAAAGGCCCTTAGGGGAAGCGGCATCTCAACTCCGATCAACTGTAGATCCTACAGCCTTGAGCTATGGAGTACGAGCTTTGGCGACACTCATAAACCAAGCGGCCGATAAGGGTGCATTCTCATTCACCGGGACCCTTCGTCTCGATAGAGACTTGGCCTTTAGCTCCTGGGCGAAACTCAATCTGTATGAGCACGATTTCGGATTGGGACAGGGCAGGCCTGAGTCGGTCCGGAGACCGCAATTCACACCCGTGGAGAGTCTTGGGTACCTGCTTCCCAAGGCACCAGATGGGAGCATCGCACTTGCAATATGTCTAAGGGAAGAGGACATGGAAGGGTTGAAGAAAGATGAATTATGGTTGAAGTATTCCAAGTACATAGGAGAGTAATTATCAGGCATCCCAGGCCCTTTAATGAAGGTCTTCGTGTTTCCCCCAAAACTCGGTCTAATGTGATAAGAGGAATTATCCTTCGTAGACATAGCAGAATGGAGAGCCACCAATACCAACAGTGCTCATCAGGTCCCTCAACTTTCTCGGCTCAGCCAAAGGGCGAAGATCAACAAGGTCGTCCAAAGTGCCGTTACGACTCGGCGGGATATTTTGCATCGTGACAGTGCCAAAGATGTCCTGTCTGTTCTCCCAGTCAAGCATCTGCCAGATCCAGTAAACGCGGTCGATCTGGCTGTGGTGCAGGAAGAAAGCTGGGTCGGCTGGAGAGATGAAGAAGTTGTTGCCAGAGTCGCCTCCGAGCTGCCAATGGCCACCCGCATGAACTCCCAGCTCAAAGGGGCTGATATAACGATCATCGCCGTTCATGAAACCCCAAAATGACTCGATCGTGTTGTGCTCAGTCAGAAGGAGAGTCGTGTTCCGGAACGTGGTGTGTCGCGAAGAGACGTGCTTGTTGAGGTCTCGCTGCAAGCAGCGCGGGTCAGCAGCGAGGGGAGTGTCGGTGTTCTGAACGACGGGAAGGTTGACAGTCATATTGGAGAAGGGGCCCGACATGATGCAGCCGCCGCCAGATCCGGGTTCGAGTTTGAGGGTCACGTTAGTGTAAGCCTGGTGAATTTCGAGGCCTTCATGAGGAACAAAGGCGCCGTTGCTGCCAATGGAAGTGTCTGATCCGTCAAAGAGAGGTGATAGCGCAGGATCTTCCGCATCATAACCCCATTCCCAGAAGGGGAATGTACCTAACATAATGTGTCAGATGTATACAGATAAAAGACAAGGCAGTTACGCGAGCCTACCAGTATAACCGCATTCGCGGACCTTCTGCTCAAATACATCAGTAAACAGGCGATGCCAGAGCTGGAAATTAGCCTAAGCAGAAGAACGAGAGGAACATTAGCAATCGGCACAATATCTTTTCGCCCACACGGAATTTGCGATCTTACCGATCTATGGATTACAGGGGTCTGCTTGAGGTGGATGGCCACAAAATCATCATACAAAGTCTTCGCAGCCGGCATCACTCCCGGTTCATACAAACTCGGGGAGCTCTGCATGCACTCAATGGCAGCTACAAAGGCTCTCCGCTGCTCGGCCGGGAGTGTTCTCCATTCTCGGCGGACGCGAACATTGTCCGGTGTGCATGTCGAGTTTGCAAATGCTGCCGAACGTTGGTGTAAGGCTTTGGAGTTAGCGAGAGCCTTTGCAGCAAGTTGAGCGAGAGCGTCGCCGTTGTTGATGGCCTCTTGGGTAAAGTTGTAAGATGGCGCTGCGGCGTTAACAGGGAGTAAGAAGGAGATGGCAAAGAAGAGCACCGAAAAGGCGCCGAGAAGAGAAGGACTCATGGTGGGAAAAGAATGGACGCCGAAAAATGCTCGACTGCTTGAAGTTCAATGGCCTCTTGGCGCGGTCAATGAATGATTATTAGGCTGCTTGATGAGGATGACACGGCTAACAGAGCGGACTCCGAGGTTCTTAAATTCAACAAAATGACAGCAGAACTATATAAAACCTCCCGATAGCCAATGCCCGTGGGTCCAACCACATCCATTCACGCTATTTGGGATATGACTAGGTGTGCTTGCGTTGACAGCATCATCCCTGGCTAGGATCATGAGTCTCGTGGGGTACTATACTAGTCTTCGAAGATGCAAATTGCAACATCGCTTAGAGGATCCCGACCCAGGGCACGAATGCGCGGATTGCGCGTGGGTTCTAGCATGGAACCTTGTTCTCTGGGACACCACCCTCAAGCCTTGTCAAGCGCGCCGAACAGCCGCGATGGCACAGTCAACTTCGCGACTTGAATTGACGGAGCCTTTTCCGTCAGTTTGGTCCGAGCTACTTACTCGCGCGTGAACAGAGGGCGCAGTATACCTGCCCAAGGCTCTAGTCCTCACAAAGCAGGTCAGAGTTGAAACCCAGGCTCTCAAAATAACCTTGATTTCATCGCTAAGACTCTTGGGTATAATTCCTGATGCAAGGTCACCTTCAATTGCAAACAAGCATTTTGGTAGCCGAGGAGTGTTGGCATCTATTTTAGGTTTGTGAGACTGGAGTTGATAGAATAAGCTCTGTGGTGGTCGGGAGCTTTCCGGTTCCGCAGCTCGGGGTCAGCAAGCCTTCTTAGAACTTTGAGTTGCGACCAAGTGGGGAAGCAATCTATGTGAGTATTGCAACCACTTCCTATAGGAAAGCTAGTCATATTGTTAAAGATGACGTTCCATATGGATAGCTCCTTCCCTGTCACATATCGTCTTGTTTATGGCTAGAGGCGAAGTCTTCCCTTCTAGTTGATTTAATAGGCAGTCAAGTCCGTCGAATAATAGAGTAGCTTGACCATCGCTTAGTCCGGTCTCGTCAACCTTCGAATCCTATGGCACTTCAGGCTAAGCTCCTGACGCTTCCATGCTTGTTCGGCAAGCTTTTATGTGGGCTGTAGACATGTCGATTGCAATGGAGACATCAGCTTCACAGGGTTTCTGGGGACTTTTCCGCAGCTCTAAGGATTGTTCTCATTGTCGGGATACGAGCCACGAGGTAGCATGATGCAACATCACCATCTTTGACTGACTCACTGACAACGTCTGAGTATCTGTCAAAGGGACTCTGGTGCAGTGGCAAAGACAAGGGTGTTTCAACTCATTATAGGAGTAGCTCGCATGAAGGAGGACATAGATGTCCGCTTATCCAAAATGCGAACTTTCGACTCTATCTTCTCACTCATAGTCATTTCTGAGTAATATTCTTCTAAACCTCCCTAAGAAGTAGTCCATGCATCATGTTTCTGACTTCACATACAGACTACATAAGCATTAGCGAAGTGATGTGTTAGCACTCTAAAGAGAAGTGAAAGCATGTATTCCATAAGTTCATACATAGAACGGTCCCTTCAACCAGCCTGCAAAGTCGTGTCGTTTCGGTCTATCACTCTAGTGCTTTCCCATGCCACACCTGGCCAAGCACTCTTCGGATCCAAGAGCAGCCCCGGTACCCACACCAGGAACACGACTTCCATTCCCTTCGGTACTATTCGATCCCGAAACGCCTCCGAAGGCAGCCTGAACCATGTCATTGGGCAACTTGAAAAGGCTATTGAGTATATTCAATGTACCCGTGTCATCGGAGTCAAGGGCTGAAATAAGCGTAGCATTGCCGCACCCTGCAAAAAGAGGTCGCACTTAGCCAAGAACTTGTTCGTGCCGCCCCGTCGTGAACCATAAACATACCTGTGTTCTGCATAGTGTGGAGACTGCCCCTGGGGAAGATAGTCAGCTGCCCAGGGTTGAGTGTCGTAGTAACCGGGTCGGCGCCATTTTCTTGGACCATCCATGTCTGGGTCTGGCCCTCCACGGCGACCACGAAGTTGGTGGCACGAGGATGGTGGTGAGGCGGCAGCATGGCACAAGGCCCAAGAGCGAGCCAGGCGACAGTCAGCCCGTGACCAGTTGCCGCGGGAAAGTTCGCTGCGTTGGCATTCACAACACCGCCGGGCGAGTATGTGAAGTACTCGTGTTTTTTGAAGTCAAATACATAGTCATCTTTGACGAGCTGCAACTTCTCGAGCTCAGTGGCCGTTGTCTTTAGCTCTGCATTGATCTCGGGCTTCACTGGCTTATCAACTGCAAGGGCAATACCCGCGACGAAGAGAACGTTGAAGAATTTAGTCAACATCGTGCTAGAAGACAGCGTGAAGGATATTGTTGGCACTTCTGACAGGTATCCAATGAAGTAGAACGCAGCTGTGATTTAAAGCATATTCGAAACATCGTGAAGATTCTCGATATTCAACATTCTTTTTATATTTCCCAAATTTGCAGAAAGATGTGAAGGTTGCTCAGCTCGGAACTCGCCCCCAACTGAAGGATCATCCTAAATGCCAGACGAGTGAGGCTCAGAGAGTCATAGACGTCAATTGTAGGCACAGATACTGAGTGGGGGCCAAGGAGGAGTTGAGAAATTTGTCGTGCGTCCCAATTATATCGAGGCATGCAGATGCTGCGCTGTCATGGAGATCCTTCAGGAGTCGAGTGAGATATTAGTGCGATGTCAAGGGTTTCCGAATCGCTGAGTTCAACATGTCGCCTTTCTAGGCTCAGGCAATCAGCTTCTTGACAGTATCAGTGCGAAGACAGCCTAACAAGCTGGGGTAAATAAATATACCTCTTATCACATTCTCTGCTTAATTGATCTATCAAGACTGCAAAAGTGCTTCGCGAGAATTGTCATTATGGCGGATAAATGCGCTTTCCCTGCTTCTGATGCTATCGGCCATCAATAATTTTAGTGGCTGAGACAGGAGCCATGTGTGGCACTATCTCACAGTCAAGTAGGGGCTAAGCCACCCCTTCAGGTTGGTTGAGGATCAATGTGCTGGGATTGGGCCATTAAACACATGCAGTCATCTTGCGGCTTGCTCCTCCGCTATACTCAAATGCGAGCCATCGCCTTGAAGCTCACCTATGACGAAACGCCTGAGGAGCACGCCTTTGGTTGGCACGTTGGGTGCTGTCCCACGATCATTGTAAACCTTGGATTCATTGTTCATATCGGAGGACCGCAGGATGGAATTCGGCCCAGGAGAGCCCGAAACAAGCGCCTCTCTAGAACGTTGATCTGGGTTCCCGAAGTTTGGCCACCTTGCCGCACCTCGCACTCATTTCTCGTGTTTGAAAGGGCTAAATCTGCGATCGGTTTGGTCTTGAGCCGTTTCCGTCGGTGCAAACAGATCGACTTCCAAGCTAAACTGTTTGCGACTAAGGTCCTGGACAAAGACCAGTGCGGTCATCTCCTCGGGAACTGGCGCCTCTTTCCATTGTCTGGTCTGATCCCCAGGAAATCCACAAATCCAGATGGCTCCGTGGACAAGCTTGTTCGGATCGTGTTCAAAGATCAAAGAGATGATGAGCGGCCCTGCCGAACCTTTACCGCTCCCGTGGAGGCGAATGAGCCTGGGCCTGCAACACCACATGCAGGGACAGACATCCTTATCGACATATAAACCTACATGGCATAGAGAGCTGGATCAAGACTCCCATCAGTCAAGCCAAGCACACTTACATTCATTGACAACATGCGGTCGGATATCATTCTTTTCTTGGCTCTTAGCAACCTTCACTTTGCCGTGGCTAAGCCATTGCCTGAAGCAGCAAGCAAACCCGGCACATCGAATAACACAGTCCAGGGCTGTCTCAACGCCGCCAAGGCACCAGTAGCCGTATCCTCATCCTCAGATTGGTCCAACGACATTCGGCCCTACAACTCTCGTTTGCAATACACACCAGCCGTTGTCGTAACGGCCACCGATGTCACACATGTGCAGGCTGCCGTGAAATGCGGAGCGCAATATAATCTCAAGGTCACGGCCCGGGGCGGCGGTCATAGCTACTCTTCGGCCGGGCTCGGCGGCGAAAACGGCCATGTGGTTGTTTGGCTGGACGAGATGTACGGCGTGACGTTAAATTCCGATAACACTGCGACGGTGCAAGCGGGCGCGAGGCTCGGTCACATCGCGACGGAGCTATTTAATCAGGGAAGCCGGGCCATCTCACATGGGTCATGTCCTGGGTAAGCATCGAAGTACATCGGTCAGCTGTGGAAGAGGCTAACACCAAGTTGGTAGTGTTGGAATGGGACATGTCTTGCATGGAGGCTTCGGCTTTTCATCTTCCATGTACGGCCTTGCGCAAGACTGGATTGTTGAGGCGACCGTAGTGACTGCCGACGGAAAGGTCGTCAAAGCATCACAGACCCAGAATACGGATCTCTTCTGGGCCCTCCGTGGCGCGGGATCGTCTTTCGGCATCGTCACCGAGTTCAAGTTCAACACCTTCGCAGCTCCCTCAGTTGTCACATGGTTCAAGGTCTCATCAGCATTGAAGAAGGATAAGCTGGCTGCGGCTCTCGTGGCTCTTCAAGAATATGCCCAGAATGACAAGCCTATCGAGTTGAACATGCGAGCCGTCGTCACCGCTGACAGCACCGCGTTTGACGGCCTCTACTACGGAACCGCGGATCAGACACGCGCCGTGCTCAAGAAGTTCCTCTCACCCCTAGGCATCGACGTCGGTGGCGCAACCATCACGCAGACTGACTGGATCGGTCAGCTGCAGCACTATGCCGGCTCAGTGGCCCTTGATGAGACTGGGCCGCAGAGCCTGTCGGATACTTTCTATGCCTCGAGTCTCATGACCAAGACGGTCTCGAATGCGGGCTTCGCTGCCTTCGCCGATTACTATCAGAACACAGCAAAGTCGACGGACAGCGGCTGGTTTGTCATCATTGATATCCATGGTGGAAAAACCAAGACAGCACAAGTCTCCAACTCGGCGACAGCTTACGCCCACCGTGATAAGGTGCTTATGTGGCAGTTCTATGACTCTTCTGGAGGTTCTACGTACCCCAAGTCTGGGTACAGATTCCTCAGCAAATGGATGGCATCAGTAACAAACACGATGGCAACGAACGAGTGGGGTCGCTACGTGAATTATGCCGACTCTCAGCTCAGCAATGCGGATGCACAAGATCAGTACTATCGGGATAATCTGGGGCGTTTGAAGACTATCAAGGCTAAGCTTGATCCCAAGAATTTGTTCACCTACCCGCAGGGGGTGGGCTCATAAGTCTTGCGCACATATGTAACTAGCCTGTTTACTGTTATATTGGTTCCACGCTATGGCGTGTACGAACATTGTTTGAATGAGACACAAGAGCATCAATAAGACCACTGGCACCAAGCACTGAAATATCACAATGTTATGTTGGGATGAGTGATTTAAGCAGCTCTCGTCGGAGTTCTCGTCGGGCGTATTACATAGTCCATGTTTCGGTTTACTCCCCCAGCTCTTTTCGATTCATCTGTTTTAAAGCTGAGGTTGACCTGTGCCATGTGTGCCGGGGACTGATCGTTCTCGCTAAAGAACATTTGCAAATCGTTGAGCGACTCATCCCCCTCTCCCACAGCCGACTTTGTCCCACCGGTGCACAGAAGTGCCATGCGTTCAACGGCTTTCAAGTGCTTTTCGGCTACGTCAGGTTCTCCAACCAAATTCTTGAATGATTTATGTCAGCACCTCATGTTCGTACTCACTTGATACTAAGTAGGCATATGATCTTGAACCCTTGAGGATATTGGGAATCTCTTACAGCGTCTGATGCCAAGCAAAGGCTCTTGGCCATGGTGAGGTTACTGATGTTGTTTCCCTCTCTGGTGATTGTTGCGTTGAGCTGGCGTATCGTCTCCATCTTATACATCGTCATCACAGGGTCACTGTAGCCCTCCTCTCGTACAGTGGCAAGGTGTCGCATGGACCAGAGGAGTACCAAAGAAAGCATTCCCGGATCGGCGAGGGCTGATTGCACCCAGTAGGTCGTCATCATCTTGCAGAATGCCGTTCGTTCACCTTGCACCATCACTTCCATCTCTGGCAAGCGGATCAACTCAAGTAACGCCATGCTGCGAAGGACTACATACAGACATGGTCAGCTTTGGCCTTGGCCCAATCAAGCATAACATCACGCTCTTTCTGGGGTGTAAGCTGCAGTCTGATCATGCAAGCAACGGGATGAGCGGGAAGGAATAGGAATAAGTCCCTTTATGCCGCAGCCCACCCTTCTATACCTGTAAGGTAGACTGCAGTCATGGCCCGTCACTTCTACAGGCTGATGTACATGATCAATCAAGCTTTCAGGTGGCATACTCACAGTGGTCAAGAAGCCCTTGCTCTTGGATAGTGACCCTCCTGACGAAGGCATTGAATGGATCCGTTCTAGCGGCGCCGAGCATTGATATGGGGCTGCCGGCGAGAAGGGGGGTGTGACCAGAACGCGAGCCGTTTTTCAGGGTCGTGACAAGCCACAACCTCACAGATTGAATCGATGGGCGAGCCGGGGAATCTTCGATTAGACCTTGCTCAGGAGGTGTGTTTGACTTCTGATAGGCGGCCACCCGCTGCTGACGGGCCTTTGGATTTCGTGCGGCGTGCGATCTGACCTTTTTCTTCCATGCCTTGGTCTCGCTTGGATGGGTGATGGGTACAAAAAGGAACCCTTCCTCCCGGTTCCTGCCGCCGCCCTTGCTCGCGGGCGGCATCGCGGGCGAAGCCGTGTACCGCTGTCGTCGAGAGGCGAACGAGTAAGGGCTGGACGTTGAACGAGCTCGGATGGCGTACCCTTCGTACCCCTTCCTGATTCACCTCGAAAATGGAGCCAAGGGCCTTCGTTACCGAATCGCAAGGCGACGAGAGGAACCCGCTAATCGACCTGAACCGTAGGGCCGGGACGAGAGGTACGAGATGGGCGACTTGAGCGGGCCTCAGTGGCTCGGGAGACGTCCGTGATGATCTGGGGACAAGGTTGGCATTTGCCTATTTTAGCAAACGCTCGGGTCACACAAGGGTTTCTGGTGTACGAGACGAGAGGAGTGAAATCCTGATTGACAGGAAGGGTGTGTGGCAGAATCGAAAGAGGAGGATGTCTGGACAATGTAGAAAGCTGACGTTGTTGTCGACGTTGAGCTTCGTCTCCGGCCCCCCTCCTCATGTTCTTCCGCCGCCTCCTCCCTCCACCGCGTGCGGTCTTTGAACGAATAGACAGCCATCGACTCACTTTGCTTGTTGGTTACAGGTTGATTCTGGCCATGTTGCGGAACCTGGCCAATCATATGTCTCTTATCTTCGACCAAACCCCGGCAACAAAGAGCGGCCGGTGGATAGCGTCCAGACTCTCCACGAATCGGAGTCTCAGATGTTTCAACCGTCCCAACAACGGTGGAGAATGCCAAGGCCAGCATTGTCCCGAATTGGACGAGACTCAAGGGTCAGCGGCTCCATCCGAACCCCCAGTCGTCTCCGCTTCCGTCGGGCTCGGCACCGGTCTACGGGTTGATTACATGAGCAATGTTTGAAAAGTGTCCGAGAAGGGAGACGTTAACCTGAGTGTGCCTGGCAAGGATACCGTGAACGCGACGCACCAGATCGATGAATCCTTCGCGCTGAAGATAATAAGTACATCGACGAAGACAGGAGAAAACATTGCGTAGAAGACCTGACTTGATCGGGAAAAAGTAATTCGACTACAAAGTTCCTGGATTGCAACAAGTTGGAGAGAAAACAAGCAGCTCAACATGTCAGGAAAGTGGGATCCCCTCACTGATATGCCCAACCTCGAGGGTAAAGTGGTTGTTGTCACCGGCGGGAAGTATGTTGTGGACCCAACCGCAGAAAGCATGCATTTCTTTTGACACACCCTCAGTGCAGGCATTGGCTTGTCAACAGTCAAGTACCTCGCCCTTCGAGGTGCCAAGGTTTACTTCACAGCAAGATCAAAGGCCAAAGCCGACGAGACTCGCACAGTGCTGACGGCCGAAAATTCTGCGATAAACGCCGGCAACCTGCATTGGCTTCCCATGGACTTGGCAGACCTCAAGTCGGTCGCCTCCGCTGTTGAAGAGCTGAAAAGCAAGGAGACCAGGGTGGACATCCTTAGTGAGTTGTCGTTGTGCTCTTTGAGAGTTGAGAGCAGAAATTGCAGAATCATGCTGATAGGACACCCCTCAAAGTAAACAATGCCGGTCTAGCCTCCGGCACGACGGAGACGATGGGTCCTGGGTGGGAATGGCACATGGGTGTTAAGTAAGTACTCCTCAAAACCACGTGGACATGTTTGCTAATATTTCATGCAACTAGCCACGTAGGGCATTTTGTCTTCACCAACGGCGTACTGCCACTTCTCAAAGAAGCTACAAAACAATCCGGGGCCGACGTCCGTATCATCACTCTCAGCTCCAACGTCAACTATGCCATGCTGCCATCGAACTACGGCTTCACCTTTGATTCCGCTTCCTTCTTGACGAAGCCTGTGCCTTATTACCCGTGGCAATGGCGCTATATCATTAGCCGTATTTTCGTGGTAGACATGATCCGTTACGCTGTCTCCAAGGTCGCCAATCTCCTTTTCGCCCAAGAGTTGCAGCGACTTCTGGATGAGCAAGGTCTCCCGATCCTGTCCATCTCGGTGCATCCGGGTGGCGTAGCCACTCCTGGTAGCAAGGACATTGGAAACTCCCTCTTCTCGCTCGTTAGATCGGCGGCCTTCCTTACCGTCGACCAGGGCGCCATCACATCCGTCTTTGCGGCCACTGCCGCCGAGGTACGCGAGAACGCAGACAAGTACAAGGGTAAGTACTTAGAGCCTTTTGGAAAGATCGTGACACCGAATCCAGTCGCCAAGGACGAGAAGCAGGTGAAGGGCATGTGGGAGCACACCACAGTCGAGGCGAACAAGTACTTGTCGACTCTCGGTCTCGCAGCTCTTCAAGAATGGTAGTCGTGACAGAATGATGGCAGACGAGGTTTTCCCAGGCCTCCATACGGATGTTCTCATCTATCCTATTCTCGATACACACAAATACACGATCAAACGACAGAAGACGGTAGTATATCAAATTTTGTTCGAAACCCTCAGGGGGCATGCGGTTACGGAGTATACAGGTCCCGTTTCCGAGTGCAAGGGATAGCATTCTCCGAAGACGTGTGAAGCCGGTTGATACCATCTCGAAGGAACCGACGCGCACCCACTCTTCAGAAATGAGGTTCAGGATCCTTTCAGAGCATCAAGAAAATTGAGAAAGAAATAATGACGCCTCGCAGCTTCCAGTAATAATTACATGATGTTTCACTAAGGCTGATCTCCCGCGATTCCCGCAATCTCACAACAGGATGCATGTTTAGTGCCTGGGCCATCACAATATGCCACGATGATCCCAATGTCAATAGTTTTCCAGACCAGTGTCCCACTGCTCACAGATGCCTGTATCCCACGTGTTGAGAATGCCGTGATAATCCATCGAGACGGTCCGGCCCCGTCAGGTGAGTCGGCAAAGGCAGAATTTTTCCTCAAGACGTCAGTGCGCTGAGAACTAGTTTGCTCCCAGTCCGAGGCATTAGGTTGAAATAGGTGAGCTATGTTGGTCTAATTTGGGATTGCCAATTTTGTTCTGCCCGTAGCTCCTCTTGAAGAATTGGAGAGGGCGGTCTTGTGGCGGCCTCTTGTCGATTGGCGCCGAGATAAGCTGTGCCGTAATCTTCTTTTCATGTTCCGAACAGGAATCCTCATCGTCGTTTCTTCACTCGGAGACTACATCGACGATGTGAAGTTGGAGATGCGAAACGACCTACAAGATGGAAAATATGCTGTTTACATTTATCCGTACTCGTTGTTAAGACTTTCTCTTCCCGCACAAAGACCGAAGGGCCATAGCATATCGCGCTCCACAAACACGAGTTTGCACGTACACCCTCAAGCAATTTATGAAGACTTTGCACACTGTAGTGCCTTGGAAGACGCTGCTAGCTCCCGCCCGTTGACGCGGCACTCGGTGAGGTCTCTCTTTGATCTGCCATTCTTTCGCGTGGCGCCGAAGGGGAGGAGGCGCAAAACGTCACTCGTGAAACCATGGTGGCTTGTCGATGCGTATGACAACGGCCGTGATGCATGAGCATAGAATACTTTCGAGTCTGTATAGAAAAGTCATTGGCCTCCCGTCACGCGACGCGCTTTCGTCGTGATGTTTGATGGTCTTCTTTTCCGCAAAAATTGTTCTCCTTTCTTCACGCCCAGCGCTTTTCAGTTCTTTACTGTCGACATTGAGTGTCGACATGATTCATCGATAACATTTTCTACGCCCTTTCCAATTCTATACGTCCAATATGAATAGCGAACTCGCCAACGGGTCGGATCTGCAGGTCGTCAGAACGGGAGGTGGCACTGGTGATAAGAGGAGTTTGGTGACGGTGGTTTGGGCGGTCAACCTCACGGCTTTCGTCCTCGTCGGAATAATAGTGCCTTTGCGGATTATCGTTCGCTGCACTGTAACACGGAATTTCTTCAGCGACGATGTACTTGTTATCATTTCTGCTCTCTTCACTTTTGCAGTATGCGCACTGCTTCCTATAGGTATGGTCTCGACCCGTCAGAGATGAAATCATCAGTCTGTCACTTACAAAGATGCCAGCGACCGATCTAGGACTTGGTCAGCACTCCTGGAATCTCGATGCTGAATTCCTTCCTGATAACACCAAGAGCTTACTCCAGGTATGGACTGCGAATCGAATGCACTAGGGAGACAATCTCTGTGGGATGAAAAATGACTGACCGGCCTTGTAGCTCATTTTCATTGCTAATACTTTGTATCCTTGCGCAATCGCGTTCACTCGTCTCTCAGCCATCGGCTCTTGTCTCAGACTCATAACAAATAAAAGCGCTCGCTGGATCATGTATGGTGCGGCGTTCGTCACGGGAGGGTTCTGCTTGGCATCCGTCTTTGCCGTCATCTTCCAATGCAAGCCCATCACGGCGGCATGGGACTCCTCAACCGGCAGCGCTACTTGCTACCCTTTCATCGACTTTCTTCATGCCAGCGCGGCGTTGAACATTGCAATCGATATGCTGCTATGCACCGTACCGTTGCCGTATATATGGAACATGAAAATGACAACGGGCAGGAAAGTTCTGCTCACGATTCTCTTTGCTATTTCTGGACTGTGAGTTTCGACAGGGGAAGTTTCGGACGGAGAGGAACGTTTTAACTAACAAGAGACTCAGCTCATGTGCTGCGGCAATCCTCAAGCTTGTCAATCTAGAGCCTCTGAGCGATTCTGACTTGACCTGTAAGTCTTCCTTATATCCCGAAAAAGAGAGTGTGCAGACATTGACCTTCACTGTCAAAGACGATTGGGTCTCCTGGGTGCTCTGTTCCATCGCAGAGTGCACCATCGGCATCGTCTGCATGTCAATACCACCGATCATTCCTCTCTTCACCAAGTGCTCTCGCAACAAGCCGCCAACGCCTCGAAAGGAAAGAAGCAAGTCGTTGCGGTATACCTTGTTTGCTGAAAAGCCAACTTTCGGCCGCGCTGTGGCACCGCGAGTCATAAGGCCGATGGCAACACCGTGGAAGGATCAACCGCTCGAGAGGACCGTCAACCCGGACTTCAAGCCAGACTTCCACTGGCTTAGACTGGAGCAGCAAGAGTATGGACGTTGTTGGAACAGAACGCCTCAGTCTACCAAGGTGGATCAGGTTCTTGGGATTGCGTTGTAGAAAGTGTCTTCCATTACCATGCGTCACTTTCGTTTGTTACAGTTTCGAGTTATTCAGCGAATGAGCTTGAGAGATTCCCACATAGACGTACGGATAAATCCAGCTTGGTGAACGGATAAAAGACGGTTGCGAACGGACTTGATATAAAACAGAATAGCCATCAACATGGATCTATCGATCGAATATCACAAGTGCCATCGTACAGTAGCCTGAGTCGGTAAGTAATTCGTGATCAGGGCCGTGCAGTATCTGTAATCCACCCGAGACCAGCGGGTTATCAACTGCCGAGCTGCAATGGGGGGCAAACTTCACCGAAGATCTCCCATATCGACTCGCACGCCCGTCGACCAGCCAGCCGGTGATGGTCCTGGCACCGGAGCGTCGCCGGTGCTCAAAACCATATTGCATATGATTGGGTGAGTGTCGTTGTAGCCAATGGGGATTCCATCCGCAACCGGCGGCCGCTGGTAATCAAGAGTACGTAGGCAGTCACAACTCCGCCTTATATCACCGGGGCTGGGTCTTGAAGTCGTCCGTCCACGACTATACGGCCAAAGCTTTTGGAACCCAAGCACCTGCCATGGGGTGATCTTCGAAGCTTCTGCTGGCTCCCGTGGAGCCAGCAAAGATCCGGGTGTGGTCTGGACTCATGTCAACATGGTCTCATGCCTGTCCCGTTTGCTCGTGGTCGAACCATCCGGTGGTCGAGGCGGTTCAAAGCCGGGAAAAGGGCTGACAGCTATGGTGTGTTTGCAACTGACTCTGCTAAGATTGCGGATCCGCGGGCCCCGTTTCAAGCTGTCTGGGAGGATTTGACAGACGGACTAGGTACGCGGCAACGAGGATCTTGAACTGCACAGATATCCGTGGCATTTTTCATGGAGGCAAGCTCGGAAGTCGGGGCATGAAAGCTTTCGCTATCACTTAGACCAAGACATCTCGTCCCCATGACCCAGAAAATACGAGGAGTAATTAGAATGATGTGCCGGTGTCAACTAACTAGATATGTTTTGGCATTCGAGGCATCATACTAACATTAGTTCGAGACAGATCTCTCACAATGCGACTATGGAATGAAATGCTGTACACGTCAAACCGGAAGGAATTCCGCCACCTACCAGGAACCCGAGCCTCTAATTGAGATCTAATACGATCTAGCAGGGAAGAGACTCGTAAGTACGGGTTCGACCTTCGGAAAACCGATATTTAGGTTGATCTAAAAGAGCCTAGCCTTGCACCACAAACCAACTGACAGAGGCGAAAGTTATCCGTACGGTCGTACCAAGTGCTTTTCCTGGGGTTTTCTGAAACTACCAAACTCAGCTCCCCACCTCGGGCCACGTCCCTGCTTCATTCCATCTACTCCGTACGCCGTGGGCAGCAGGGCCAGACGATGGCACGAACACCACATCAAGCAACAAGGGGGACACACGGGATAAGAAACTAGGGCCCGCGTCTATCTCAGCCCCATCAAAAGCCCCAGCCGACTCCGAAGAGCCGTCAACCTGGTATCCGAACCTCACATCATGACGTGCAGCGGCGACACAGTCAGGCAGCATCCAAGGGCGACTCAGAAAGGTGCTGCCACTTCGAATCAACACGATCCGAATCGAAACTCAAAATCCATGAAAGGTCACACCAACTTCGGCTCCAGTTGTTGTCCGCGCCCGTCCGCCACCTGGCACCATCACCTCTCCCGTTCTAGCGCGCGGGTTTAGAGAGCAGCAAATCGAGTAGAATAACTAGGCAAGGAAGCCATTACCACCAGAACCAGAATCTCCGGCACTGACCGCCCAGGCGTCGTCTGACCCAAGCGCCGGGGAAACGCTGCTTCTGCGGAGTTAGCGCCTGTATAGCGCCGGCGACCATTGGAACAGAGTTCGCCCGTGGTTTGATATGTTCATTCCCAAGTTATTTAAAGGGGGTTAAATCTGCCGATTAGGAATCAACATCGAACAAATCCTGCGCGCCGTGACGCTAGAATTCGCTTGGAATCTACGTTTAAGGGTTCTAGAAAGGAAGCTGAACGCAAGTGGAAAGGTAGAAAACCTTCGCCCTCGGTTACAACATACCTTGAGACATTGAATCTCTATGGAATGGATGCTGTCTTACTGCATCTTTGTGTTCATTTGAAGACTGCCGACACCATCTGCTGTTGATTCAACTTGGTCAGTCGGGCAGTGCCGGCCTCGCTCTCATCCTATGGCAATCACATCACCGAACACAAAGTGAAGTCATGACTTTGCCTAATTAACCCCCCGTCGCGAGTCATTGGACAGGCTGATAATTCGATGTCCGGTCAGACCTCTTCAGAGGATTTAGCCTGCCTTTATCCGCTCCGCTACCCGACATGGGAACGACTTAGTGTCCGTCCCAAGGTGTGGACGCACCCAGTGAGCAACGAGCTGCCCCTGAGACGCCCGAGCGGCATTAGATTCGCCGATAGGTAGCGTCCGAATCTCTCTGTGGCTGGAACTCGCTGTCTCTCGCCCTCCCCTCTCATGTCTGTACCGTCTGTCTCTCTGTGTCTGCTCATCTCTCGAACGAAGATGGCCAAAGGGTGGTGGGGGGATTCATAGGCGAGGGTCCCCCTTTTGGCATGTCGCTGATCGCAAGTTTCCCATCCCCGCACTGACAGGGCCTAAAATGTGATAAAGCTCCTAAAGAGTGGTTCTTTCATCGGGGAGGTCTTCCCGATTCATCGCCCCCAACGCGACCCTACTTGCCTACCAACTCGGCCGTACGACGCCCTTTCGGCTTAGCTTCCAGCCATTCTAGGTATTGTATTCGCTGCTTATTCTTTCTTCAACAAGAAGGTCTAGCTGATCCAGGAGGGTTTGGTAGATCTCAAGAGACAATCTCACACAAGTAACACAATAGTAAGAAGTACGGGAGGGCGTTCGGCGCCGGCCCACACAGCCACTACCATTGTACGGCTCTACTAAACAACTTAGAGTGTTTCTAGACGCATTGACAGTCCTTCCTCTGGTCCAAACTATCGTCGGCCAGGGTTCATGCAGAAGCGTGTGTCAGGAAAAGCCCACCCGCCATGTGGGTTCCCCTTGCACCATGCTTCGCGCACTTCGTACCTTCTTTTTTTCTCCTTCCTGCAGCGGGCAGCAGTTCTGACCCCTCGGTGGACTAGCCCGCTTTTGCTCTTTTCGCCCGGAAGTCTGCCGCGTCGACGCAGAGACAAGCGCAGGTATCTGTGGGTGTGGTGGGTGTGTCACTGTGGGTTGGCCATGGTGAAAGATGGGCTCGCGCACTCGCGCGATAGAGGTCTTGGCCACCGGGTGGGATTCGAGGAAGTGTGAGTGGGAGAGGGGAAGGGGTCCAATGCTGCCCACTGCTTAGCCTTCTTAATTCGTTCCAGTCTCTTTTTCTCGTAGAAGGAGGTAGGTCGGATAAAGGGCCTTGCTTCATATTAAAGAAGACGGACGGGTCGCACAAACATCCTGGAGAATGGAGATGTCCTTTTCCTTCCCCCTTCGCTTCTTCAATTTTTGCTACTGGCTTTTCCCTGGGTTTAATTACTTGTTTCCGTTCATGATTTCCCCCAGGGTATCTAGGAGATGACCACATATCCGAGGCGGTATGGCCGGCGCTCGCTGTTACTGCTCCTGCTGTGGTGTATTGCTTCGGTAGTCGAGGCTCAGAGCGTCGCCGGCCTGCTCACACAAATCCCTAATTGCGCAGTAAGTCAACACCAACGTCAAGTTTCTATCGTTTGCTCAATTCTGTTGTTTGCTTTTTGTACTTGCATGCCCTTGCATTCCCGTCGTGGGGCCTTGTCAAATATTCTCCGAGCCGTATGGAGTACAGCAGGGCTGACTAGTCACGTTTGTTGCGATAGCTTCCATGCATCACACAAGGTCTACAAGAGGGCAACTGCAGCTTGGCATCGGTTGCGACTGTGACCGAATGTCTCTGTCCCAATATCAAATTGCAGTCAGATTTGTCAACGTGTGTGCAACTGAAATGTCATCTCGAAGATCAAGCTCGTAGGTTTTCTGCAAGTATCGACACGATACTCACATGCTGATAACTGCCAGGCGCCGCCAAGCTCGAGACAAGCCTTTGTGATGCGTACCCCAAAGAGTCTAGGAGTAATGAAGTCAAGACTATCGCCATCGCGCTGTCAGTCATCACATTTCCCGTCGTTGCGCTGCGGTGCATATCACGATGGAAGATTACCAACAAGTTGTGGTGGGATGACTGGACAGCCATCTTTGCAACAGTGAGCCAAATGTGGGCAACTCCAAAGGCGAAAGCTGACGAGAAATCAGATGTTGCTAGCCGGCTTGGCTGGCATCGAAATTGCGAGTGCCGACCTAGGATTCGGAACCCACTACTGGAACATTGAACTCGATGCCGGAACGAAACTACTCAAGCTTTTCTACGCCGTTCAGCAGCTCTACATCATGATTCAAGTCTTCGCCAAAATCTCGATTCTGTTGTTCTTCTCCCGAATTTTCCCGGCAAAGTGGTTCCAGCTCACCGTCCGCTACTTCATCATGTTCTTGCTGCTACACGGGCTGATATTCCTCCTGGTCATCGTGTTCCAATGCACGCCGGTCTCTTCGGTCTGGGATAGAAGCAACCCGAACCGGACATGCCTCAACGTAACCGCCATTGGATACGCCGGAGCAGTCTTCAGTATTGTGGAAGACTTGGTGATCTTGGTCCTGCCTATTCCCGAGTTGGTGAAGCTCCAGCTCAATATCAGGAAGAAAATTGCGCTGGGCTTTATGTTCAGCCTTGGCTCATTGTGAGTCATTCCTTATAGCCATATTGGTCTATCATCATCGACGGTTGTGACTAACATGGTTCACAGTGCCTGTATCACAACTATGGTTCGTTTGAAATATCTTGTCATGTTCTCGAGCACTTTCGATACTACGTGGGATAACGTCGACATTGTCATATGGTCCATCATCGAGGAATTCTGCGCCATCCTCTGCGCAAGTCTTCCAGCACTCCGGCCTTTGCTTCAAAAGGTCCCGCAACTCTTCTCCAGCAACAAGACCAACACCAAAGACAAAAGCTTAGGGACGGTAAACTCGAGACGGTCTATGCTCAATATTGGGAAGGACAAGTTCCACGAAATCCCCGAGACGCCGTCGATGGCTTCGGAACTACCACCCACACCAATCGATCTTGCAGACGAGATGGCGGCAAAGGCCGACGGGAAGCGTCAAGTCCTCATCACCAAGGATGTCAAGGTCAATGTAGCCAATTTTGAGCTGCAGAATGTCAAGTCTGGGAAGAAATGGCAAAAGAACGAAAATGGGAGGTTCTAATTGGTCAAGGAGGCAGAGAGGAAGAGAGAGTCGAAAGTATTCAGCGTTATGGATAAACTTTTTCTGTATTACATTGGCATTAAAGCGACGGCGAACTTGGAAACTTGATTTGGGAGCGGCGCAATACCAATACCCAGAATACCATTTTGTTTCAGCAAGGGTATAGAACACGGTCAAACTTGGGATGTGTGTATAATGGAACGAGTAATGAGCAGATCAGCCGTCGCGCGCTTTGTCCAACTCCTGCGTCTCTCGTGTCTCTGCCTTCTCCCTCTCCGTAACCAAGTCCCAGTCCTCAAACAACTGCCGACGATATTCTGCCGCTGCCAAGCCAGTGGTGACCACCAGATCGAGGTCGAGATCTGCGAGAGCGGCATGCAGCTCGAACCCGGGCCCCCACCCGGCCTTGCTCATCGTGTTTGTATGACTTGCAGGTGCAGGTCGGCTCCCGCCTTCTCCACTCCCTCTCGAATTGTGTCCTTCTTCTTCTTCATCGTCTCCTCTGGGGCCAGCATTCACCACGTGCAGCCTCGGACGGAAAAAAGCTAGAGTTTTGCCGTTGAAATCGATCAGCTTCATGCCTTTGCCATGCTTGCCCAGATCCTCCCACCGCATCTCGCCCACGCCCAGGAAGCGGAAGCTGAGAGTACTAGACAGGGGGTGCTTGCGTGCCACCTTGAACTTGACACCTCGGACGGTAGCGTCTACTCTCGAGGGTAGTGTGCGGAGTTTGACAGCGGCGATGGGGCGGTGCTCTGCGGAGATGGCGTCGCAGTTTACTCGCCGGATTTCCATTTTGGTCATTCTGGTGTTATGACTGACTGTGTATACTGGGGTGAGACACTCTTTGTGTTTGAGTAAGTTAACAACGATAGCATTCTCGTTGCCTCTACTGAGGACAAGGATGTGTCGCGGCTCTGGTGGGATTTCCATAAGGTATGTGAGGAACTAGCTTAGAAGACACGAGCAGGGCTAGGAAATTCTCATGTTTCCTACATTAATATCAAGCTTCATCTGCTGGGAAGACGTTGAGGAAATGTATTCCGCGGGTTTCTTGTATGTTCGTTGACGTATGCCAAAGTTTCCCAAGGTTACTCAGCAAGACTATCTATGGGCGGCATCCCACGGTGCTCTGAAAGTACATAGACCGAAGACGGGACGGAGAAGGCCATAGAAGGTGGTTCATCTATGAATGTCGGGCGCAATGGTGAGACGGATGGGCGAACCAAAGTGTCAGATCCATGAGGGGAGCTGAAGCTGCCACACTTGGCATCTAAAACCAAGCCCCAGGCGCCCTTCTCCTATCGCTCGATGGCCGCGGCGGCTATGCTATGTGACTTTCTCCGATGACGTACGCCTCAAGGTTCCTCTGGTCGAAGCTGATGTGCCGACGACGGGAAATCCCCAGTATCCCACATACGGCCAAGCTCGGGCATTTTTGGCAGCGATTTAAGGTTTCGGCGAGGGCGGGGCAATCGGAGGTGGAGTCGCTTTGCAGTTCACCGTCAGGGACAAGCCGCGATGCCGGTTCTACCGGGGGAGGGAATCTCGATACGACGGGCGCATCCGCGTGTGACCGGAGACTTAATCGATCTTGTTCCTCTCCAAAGCTTGACTGACAGATGGCTGGGTATCAGAAAGGGGCGTGTCTAGCGGAGAACAGGAAAATTGTCGCGTGTTACTGCAAGAAACACAAGCTTTGGTCAATCGATGGTTCCGCCAAGGGAACTCTCTTTTTCGATCGTGATCGAAGACATCTCGAACATGCTGAAGCTTTGGAAGAATGCGAAGATGTGTCTGAATGACCATATGATAGAAGGAAGAAACAGAGTGTGTTCAAGTCCCATATTATCCATCAAAGTTGCATCAATGGAAGATATGTATGAAAGGTAGATATGCAACACCTCGGGATAAAGGCAGTAAGTGCACTTATGCGTCTAAACGGCTATGACGATGGTGGGGCTAATTTCATGAGCAGCCTGGAAGGAGCTTCCCGAGGTCGTTCCTTCCTGCAGCAATGGCACCGTGCTTTTGGGGAGGTACCTTCCGTCAGCAGCAGGAGCAGCAGCAGCAGCAGTGACAGGAGCAACGTGGACGGGCAACCGGGAAGCTTTGCCCACACCCAACGACCATCACCACCCGACATCACGATCCTTTGCCAAACTTGGGCGTGCGACTCTTCACACCACATCCTTGTTAAAACACATTTCAGAGCTGCGACACCGACACCCGGTCTCATGAATCTTTGACGCAAACCTCCCTACCGGCCATGAATTGACCTGCACGTCAAGATGCCTCCCCCCGAGTCCCGCCCCCTCCTTATTCCTCAAAACCGCAAGCTTCGTCATCTTCGAGGCATCTACTTGCGAAACCTGAGCTTCATTCGCCCTCGAGGCCACACCATTGATGATACCGCTCTAAACAAGACACCCTCGAAGCTCGAATCTCTTCGCGACACTCCTCAGCTCCAACATGCTCTCTCCAGCGACAATCTGCGACCCAAAGCCCTGCGCCGCCGCAGCACTGCTCTGGCCCAAGCTACACCAATCACGAGACAGCGCATGCTACAGTTGACCATCGACGGTAGGGCCGCCGATGTCTTCTTCTCACTGCATTGCGAAGGCGAAGATGAGCCGGTGTATATCAGTGAAATGCAGGAGCATGCCACGGTATGTCATATTCCAATCCTTGTGTCCACCAGCCGGACTGACAAGGCGACCAACAGAACTTCAACTTTCAATTCTTCGATCTCAACCACCATGGCCCCTCTGTCACCCGCTCCCCGGTGATGACGATCAAGATCTGGGCGAAGCGAACAGCATGGACTTTGCTGCTCCAAGATACAATAGATCTCCGAAGTCTTCATTTCATCGGCAGCCTCCAGAATCGCAAATTTCCGCCCAACGGTCTCATTTTCCACCTTGCCGACGGTATATACTCGCTCGATGTCCCGGCCAAGCCCACGCACCCGAAGGAGCTGCCACCCCTCCACACATCTTCTTACAACGCTCTGATGAAGCTCGCGACTCTGGACAACTCTATCCAGGACGCCATTGCGACACAGGAGCAGCTCACATCCCAAATCAACGACATACTCGATGAGACCGCGCACAATGAGACGCCAGCCGCCGAGGAGAAGGTGAAGCTCGCCAACAAATACGTGGCGCAAGAGCTGCGATCCTTGAAGGCAGCCGAAAAGCGGCGAGAGGAGCTACGCGAGTCTCTCAAGTCGCGTCGAGAGGCGATTGCCCAAGGCCGCGCCCTCCAAGACAAGCTGGCAAAGGATATTGTCGACGCCACAGAGCACCTATCGGCATCTAAAGAAGTTCTTGCCAAGACCAAGGAGACGATTCGCGGTCAGCGACGCCGCATTTGCGCAGACCTCGGCAACATCTACCAGATCACGCCCTGTCCTACTGGTGCTCCCCTCTCGTTCCAGATCGCGGGCCTGCCCCTTCCAAATACAAGCTACGACAGCGCCACTTCACGCGGCCCTGACGACGACCTTCTCTCCGCCGCCCTGGGCCATGTTGCTGCTCTGACCAATGCGCTGCAATACTACCTGTCTGTGCCGCTTCCATACCCAATCACGCCTTTCGGCTCACGATCCCATATCCGCGACGATATATCTCTGCTCACCGACCTGAACTCGGTGCAGGCGGCTCGACAGCGCGATTTCCCTCTGTACCTCCCGCGAGGTGGATCGACCGCGGCCCAGTATCGCTTCGACTACGGTTGGTTCATTCTCAACAAAAACATTGAGGCGCTCTGTGCCAGCCAAGGGCTGAAAGTCGTCGACATCCGCCATACGCTGCCCAACCTCAAGTATCTCCTGTACGTGTGCAGCGCCGGCACCGAAGAAGTTCCCGAGCGTAAGCGTGGCGGCGTCCGTGGTCTCTGGGCGGGACGGTTCAAAGGTCGCATCCCTTCGTCGGTGGCAGGCGTTGGCGATGAAGACTCGAGCAGCATAGGCGGCAGTCGCCGTGGCAGCACCGACAGCGAGGTGCTCAGCCGGCAGCGTGATGAGCTTAGGAAGGCCATGACCGTTCGCGACGGTGCGAATTCCCCTGTCGACTACAACTTCACTCACGGAAATGGTGGGTCTGCGGGCCTCCCATTCGATGAGTTTAAAGTGTCGCTGAGGACCAAGGGCATGAGAGAAAACGCTGGGAACTGATGGCAGCCGTTGCCAGGAAATTCAGGATGGTTCAACGTTGGTCGAATTACGTGGTTTCATTGTTTGAGATACCCCGGCGATTCGTCGCCGCCGTAATAAAAATTGCTAATGCTGGAAACAATCGTATCGAACACCATCCGGTGGGAATCATCTCCATACCCCCCAATGCCCCAAGTGGAAAAAGTACTTGTAGCAACACTGTGAACAACATGCGTAAAAATACGCCATATGCTTTCCCTCAACGCCGTGAAACATCAATTAACACAACCCGTCACCATCCCTCCGTCGTAGCAATTACAGAGACCGCCAGAGACGACCGAGCTGCCACTAGCGCTCCGTCGGCACAAACTTGACGCTCTTCCTCCGCTCGCGCTCCCCGGGTCCAGTCCTGCTCCCCGGGCTAGAACTGAGTATCCCTGACGTAGGTGTACCGTTCGCCAACGCCTCGCGGACGCTCTCCACCGCACGACTCTGCGGCACTTCGACGCTGTCGCCGCGGACATTTGGCGGGATCACGGGACTCCGTCCCCCTTCGGCTTTACCCCCTCCACCGACGCCGCCGCCCAAGCCGCCCCCGCCGATGCGCACTTTCTCGACAGCCGCACGACCAAGCTCGTCTGAGCGCGTCGTCGACTTCTCGTCTCGCCATTTGCCGGGAAGACACGCGTGTCCGCAGCCATCGAGGGGACAACACCCGTCGCTGAGCTCGTAGCTGCCGTCGTCCGAAGGCGCGTGCCAGTCTTGGAGACAGGTCGCGTGACCGCCGTGGGCGCAGCCGGGACAGTACCACCATATGCTCATCACAGGGTCGGTTGGTGCCGGGGTGGCGGGAACGCCTTCGGCGAGGGAGAGCATCGTGGCTGTGGTCTCGCGGTGGCCGCATACGGCGCAAGGGGCCATCGTTGTTCGGCAGCGGTCGCATTTCCAAAGGGCTCTGGAGCCGAGGGACGGGTCCAGCTCTCGCGGCTTGTGGCAGCTGGGGCAGATAAAGCCGCCCTTGACGCCTTGTTGGGCGGGACCGAAGATGGATGTGTAGTTTTCGCCCCAATCTGGAATGCCCTCAGGCCAACCCTTGATACAGAGCTTGCGGAGGAGGGCAGCTTCGATGAAGAGCTTCATTCCTGTCAGGCGCGAGTGATGCTGCCGGAGGATGGAGGATGCGCGATGGGGATCGATGACGGATTCGGGCACGAGGGGCTTCAGCAGTAGGACCATGGCAGAGGCATTGAGCGCTGATGTCCGTGTTTCGAAATCCAGGGCGCGAGAGAGGAGGGTACACGGGTTTAGCGGCGGTGAGCGGTCCTCCTCTGGGTTCGATGATAAAGGATGGGGGTATGATGGGTCTTCCAGCCATGGGAGGTAGTCGGACTCGAGAATATTCGGTGTTGTGTCATGTTGAGGGGCCGTGGCGATCCTCGGAGGGCTCGACGCAGCAACACCGACGTGGAGAGGTGCATGGTCTTCGTAGGTCGCAGGGAATGATCCCAGCTGTGAACGTGTCGACGGTTCGTCCGTAGCCGTATCAGAAGCCATGGTCGTCTGAGAAATCATAAAGATTTCTTCTGGAGAATCCTGGGGCATACTCTCGCCAGGACCATGCAGTGACGCCAGGGCGCCATGTTCTGGAGAGTCCTCGATTTCTTTGCCACGGATGCGGCTTTCGTATTCGCCCTGCTCTTTGGCACTCTTTTGATGTGCAAGCTGAGTGGGATAGCTAGTGATGGAGTGAGCCGACGCTGATGTACCCCCTTCAGAGGATGATGCCAGCCCAGAAGTTTGGCGGCTGCTCTCAGACATGGAGAACATTTGAGAAAAGCCATCAGAATCATGTCGCAACGGACGTCGACTATTCGGCGTGCGGGGGCCATAGTCCAAGGGCTTCTGCTCCTTTTTCTTTGGCTCGGGCACATCTATCGCTTGAGACAGTGCGTCAGTATCATAGAAGTCGTATCCCTCTGTGATGGAGGCCTGCGTCTGATCGCTTTCATGACTTGTAGTAGACAAAGGAACCGAGTCCAGCCGTCTCCTTGGACTTATGTTGAACGTACTGTGGGCAGCGGGGGGCAAAGCAAAGCTATCCAACTCTTTGACCGGCGGCAGCTGAGCTTCCTCAAACTGGTCCGCATTTTCCTCGTTGATGGCCCTCGCAATTGGGGTTGCAACGTTGGATGTGCTTTCAATCTCTTCGGAGAGCAAGGACCGTGGCCCCAAAGACTTGCTGTCTGTGCCATTGGATGTAAGAGCTGACGGCCGTCGAGGGGTTTCTTCCCCATTAATCTCCACAACAACATCCAATGCTCTCGGTACCCTGAGCTTGGGTACATCTTTGCCTTTGGAAATGGACCGCCTCTTCTGGAATCGCCCAAGTCGCGTCTCGAGGTGGAATTGCGCTCTTCTGCTCAACAAGAGGTTCATTGAGTAAGCCAGAATCCGCCATGTTTGTGCTAGGCGGAATAGATTGACGTGTTCTGCAGCGCGTGCGTATTTCTCCATAATGCCAGCGATTCTTTGCGCTAGTGGTTTCGCTCCATCGACAAACGGGAGATCTTTATCCAGAGTCTCAAGATAGTAGCTGGAAAGATATTGATAAACATCGACTCTTGCTGCTGCGGGCACATGACCAACAGCCATAGACTGCTGAGTCTTGTAAGTGCCAGTGACTTTGATGGCTTGCTCAAGACCCAAGACGAGATCGTCGCTTAGGCCTGGCCCCGATGGAGGGGTGGTGCTAAGGACGGGGATGGAACGCAGACTGTGCCTGCGTTTCCTGCTCACTCGCCGACGAGGCCCCAAAAAGCTGCCGACGACATCTTCTTCAGAGTCACTGCGGCTGATGCTCAGCATCGGTGTCGTCGGACTTGAGCTGTAGGATGTTCGTGGAGGCACGACGCTTGGCTGATGATGGACGATTGGAGGTCGTGGGCGGTCATGTAGTCGCTCGTCGAGGAACATGACGGCATCGCCTCTAGCAGATAGTGCCATGGTCGACACAGATTGCCTATCGAGGACTTTCGGGGCAAATGCTACATCGCATTGGTTGAAAAAGCCGTCGTGGCCGACGGTCCAGAGAAGGTCCTGGTTCTGCCACAACAAACCTGAGGGGGAGATCTCGAAGCGCTCAATCTCCTTGTATGGCATGGAGGGCCTGGCCAAGTCCCAGATATGTACGGCGTTGATACCGTATCGCTTGTGGCTGCCGTCGTCGTAGGAGACAGCAACCTGAGCGGCACGTTTCCCCTGAGCGCTGGCAGACCAAAGACCAGGCCGCCACGCCACCGCAGATACAGAGGCGGGTGTGTAGATGACCCATCGAGGCTTTTGACGTTTATCGGCATTCTTAGACATGTCCCATACAGCGCATTTGCTGTCCCAGCCGCCGCTGATCAGATGGTTGCCGTCCGGATGCCACGAGATGGAGGCGCACGCCTTGTCATGCGCAGGGATCTTGAGCAATGGCTGAGCAATCTTGCGTACGTCCCACTTGAGCACGACGCCAGACTCGGTGCCACAGGCAAAGTAGAAGCCATCTTTGGGTGACCATTTGACCTGCCGGACTCCGTCCGCGTTGCACTTGTATGCCCCTCGAGGGCTGTAGGTGAGCCCCCCCGACCTGCTTTGTACTGGCGCGCGAATGTCGAAATACCGCACCAGGCCATCCTGACTCCCGGAGAGTAAGGTGGTTTGCCTATGAGGGTTGATGTCGAGACTGTTGACCTGGCGCGAATCCTCCCTCGTCTGAACGAATTCGAGGGCAGCGCCGCCGGTCGCAATCCTCGAAAGGTCGTAGGAGAAGATCTTGCCGTTGGCACAGGCGGTAAATATGGTGGCGTCGCCGTGCCATTTGACGTCTCGAATGGAGAGTTGGTCTGCCGTCAGAGAGCTCGATGCGCCTTTGCTCGAGGCGGAATTGATAGCGGCACGGAGGTCGGTACCTTCGCTTACGGACAGGCCGTCGAAGAGGATGGTCTTGAGAACATGTCTACCGGCGATGACAGCAGCTCGGTGATCGGTGGAGGTATCGAGGCATAGAATGGGGGCGCCGGCAGGGTAGACGACGTTCTGAGAGGCACTGGGTCTGTAGGAGGCCTGATATTGCGGCGCACTGGTGATGCCGATGGAGTGGGTGTCGGTGCTGCTTTCGGCAGTTACTTTGCCGAGGAGTTTTCTCATGATCTTGTTTTCGCGGCTATACATGGAGCTCGCACGGCGCCATTGGCAGCGCCGTTATGTTGCGGTCGGTATGCCGAGGGCTCGTTCGGGTGGTGGTGAATGTGATGCGATGGTAGTGAGTCGAGTCGCACCTCCAAAAGAAGCGGCGGCAGCGACAGCGACAGCGACGGCAACAGCAGGCAATCGGGCACTTTGGTGGGTGTGAAGCTCGGCGCGTCCAAGCTCAACCCAAGTCGTCGATAGGAAGATAACGATAAGAAGAGTGCGATTCATCGATAAGATTAGATAGGTACTTAACTTAAGTACCTTAGGTAATCATGGTGGGGTTTCCTTTCCTTCCAGTCTCCCGTCCACCTCCAGCTTGCTTTCTCCTTTGCTTCATCACCATCCAAAACTACATCATCACTGATTATCGTCTCTTTGACTTCTAACCCGGGGGCCCTATTCCTATAAAACACGTACGGTCACATACTTCGACAGAGAAGACCAATTGCGGGCCATAATTTGCAATGACAATCGATGCAAACGAAACAGTGGCTGGCCTGAGTGCGAACTTGCTCACCAGACCCCACCACTTGGATCGAGTTACATCTAGACAATAATATGATTTCCTCGATCCGCGGAACTTCACATTCTTCGGACCAATGGATAGTTCCGAAACTTTATTTGCGATACCATTAGAGCGATTCTTCATATCAAATCATCCGCCGTCAATCTCATAATTCATCGTCTTGGCTAGACGTCGCCTAGAGGAGTCGATCTGCCCTTAGCGTTCCATGTTGCCATCGTCCCTCGCACAGGGGAATCTCTCGATAATAGCAGCGATATAACATCGTATAGCTCACGCTACTTCAAATACGGGAACGCCAGACACCACTACTGAGAGTCACCCGCGATTGCTGTCATCGCCCCCAACTAATGGGTGTACGGAGAATCAGATAGGTCACCTCAGCATGTGGCTGCCAGCTGTCTCCTCATGCTCTCCGAGGCCTCATTCTTTTCGCTTTCTCGACTCTTCCCCTTGGAGCCCTCGCTGGCTGGAATGTCCTGGTCCTCCCCGCCTCTCTTGCCCGCCGCCGCTCTCCCCTGTCAAGCGTCAGCAAAGGGTATGATCAAGGTCAATGGACAAATTCTACTCACAAAAGCTGGTACAGCTCTTCAGTCTCCAGGTCTGATATGGCTGAGTCCGAACCACGACGTTCATATCCCACCTCGATGGGACCTTGTGGTACGGATACTGCGGGCGACGGCACTGCAGGTGCTGCTGGGATATCGACTTCCCTATGGCTGCTGACCTCGGGAGATATGGGCGAATTCGAAGCCAGTACCGCATTTTCCGATAGCCTGGGCACACTCAATTCCAAGCCTGGGTCTCGCTCGTTGTCTTTCGAAGCAAGTTCCCACATCTGATACGCTAGTACTTCGTGGGGATGGATTGAAGACAAGTAATGTGTCAATGGCTGTTCCGGTATGGCATCCCCGGCGCCTCCGGTAGTCCCAAAAGGCGATGTGCTACTTTCGATCTGGTCGTACACTCCAGGAACTCTTCTTCTCCCAAGAATTACCGATCCGCAGTTGGAGGAGTTCGCGTCGCGCTCGTCATCGTTATTGGGAGGCAGCATAAGCGCCCGTCTCTCATGCGATTGAGGGCATGCCAAGTACGATTCCAACGGCCCAGCGGTTGGTGGTGTTTTTGTCGCCAAGCTATCAGACCATGAAGCCTCGGGCGTTGCTGGAGTTCCAGGCCGCGACCGCGCTGCTCGTACTGTCTCGTCATGTTGCAAGTGTGTACTCCTGGCAGTGCTTCCATTGACACCTACGACAGACTCAGGTGATGGGGCGGATGACCGACGGAAAGCTTGTTTTGGGAGCTCAACCTCTGGGCTGTTCTCGATTAGAACATATTCCTCGTTTCGCTGAGCAGAGAGAACGTTACCTAAACACACTCTTCTCCTCTATCCTCGGTTCTAAGCTGATGCTGGATCCGTCGGGTGATCTCGATCCATCGCGACAGAAGCCAAGTACGTTGACCTCCGAGCTCATGCCAATACCATGATACTCGATGTTTTCCAAGCTGGGATAGGGACCAGGATTCGTTATGGGCATCTTGATGAACGAATACACCACACTATCAAGGCGTATGGCTTCTCTCTTCGCCAGTCGAGTCCGAATCAGCAATGACCGATGGTGCTAGCAGTCAACTTTGGGTAAGGCAGTGAGGAGGGCCGGAAAAGCAAAGATTGCACAGAATAAGTCCTTAAACTGGAAGACAAAAAGTAGTACTATCCTCTGATCTTCTCTTTCGGACTCTCGCGCACGCCAACATAGGACGAGCGAGTCCCAAGCTGGCGGCGCAGCAAGGCGACCACTATCACGCTTTGAGAAATCCCGAATCCAGAGCGTTGGGTTCCGGCCCGCGTGAAGGACTGCACATTGGCGAGACAGGGAACGGTCACACTTTTAACTGACCACCTTCATCGTCCCAGGCCGAAGCCTCCTCTGCAGACGGACGCTCCTACAATCCCTGGTCAAGACAAAAAGGACCAGCGACAGGATGGTGATACGACCACTCGTAGATTATGGTGGGGTTGCGCAGGGTTCCCGACAGAATGGCACACCAATTCCTGGGAGATCCTAGGCGGCAATAAGCAGCCACTCTTCCCCGTGGCTCCCACCGCGGAAGCTCGGCGGGGAGACGCCAGCAGAGCTTGACCAGGGGCCCTGGTTGTCACTCTTTCTTTTTTGTCATGGCATCCAACCCCCCGACTTCATTTCAAGTAGCAGCTGCCTCGTCTGAGAGGGTGCCGTTTGGCTGGAAATTGCGCCGGTGGTATGGATAGATGCCGCTGCAACCCTCTCCCCCTTGCTTGCCAACGGGGTTTGCTCTGCCCATCCATTCTCTGCATGTCTCTGTCTGCAAGTCTCTACGGAGAACTCATGGATGGGCTCACAGGCGTGTGGCTTGACGATGATTGACATGCACAGCTCACCACATAAGTGAAAAAAGCAAACCTCGCTCATTGCTGCTAGGTCGGCTCTGCCTATTAATAAGCGAAAGCGGACTCGAACGTTGCATTGAAGACTATCATTTGCCCATCCGGGAGAGACATGCATCCATCACAAAAACACAGAACCGAGCACATTACTGGATTATTGGGATTATTGAAGGCTTAATCTCTGCGTTGCAGACTTGCATACACGTCAGCGGGATTCCCATCCGGATATAAGACTTCGGGATTTGAACATTCTCTTAATCCTCAAGTTCCTCAATTGCTACCACCTCGTATCATCTCACTTTTCACGGTTCCGTTTGTCTTTCCCGTCAAAGTTTGACTTCGACTCGGCATTTATCCCCATGCAGGGAGGCGTTGTTAATGGGCTGGGATTGGCAAGAGATCCGTCAGTTGTTCAGGGGCAGCCCGGACGTCCCGTCGCGCCCGCTCCTCCTTACCATTCTGCTGGGTCGTCCCCGCCGTCAACTCGTGTGTTGGCACATTGTGCGGCCCTGGCGAACCATCACAGCTCTTGTAAGTTATCTGTCAACTTCATCCTCCTCCCTTACTCTCGGAACCAGACTGCAGATCTAAATGATACATCATTCAGGCTGTGGATCTACAAAGCCAGGTCTCGACGAATTGCGTTCTCGACGCTGCGATTTCGGGCTGCGTGTGGTTTTCCTCATGCTTGGCGCTGCTCATCTCTCGTGTCTCTTCGAGCTCCTTCGCATGAAGTACCCAGTCACAGTCGCAACGCCAACTGGTCTGTCAACTCGTTAGCAAAGACGCCGCAGCCAGTCTGGCTCATGTACTGAACTCACAGCAACAACACCCGGAACACGCCCACCGCCATGCCCATCCTCAGTCCAGCCCAGCACTCGGCCGACTGCTCGCCGTATTCGTTGCAGAGAGCCTTGTCTAGGTTGGCCTTCATCGCAAAAATGAGATATGATCCCGTCGCGGTGGCGTTGAGACAAAGAAGGGCAGCAAACCCAACGGAAAGAGCCATCCCAAACCAAGAACACGCCACCAAGGTGACGATGATCCAGGCGCCAACCTCGACGCACATGGATATCAGCGATATCATGCTGCGTGTCTTTGTGTCAGTGTTACCAAGTCGACTGGCTTTCAAGAACGACGAGCGAGATGGGCAGCCACTCACGAGACGAAGTCGGCCCTCTGAACCAGTCCCGGAAACTTCTTAAGTCGTTGAAGGCTCTGTGAGGAGATGACAATTGCAATGACCTCGAAAATGATGAGGACTACATGTCCCGCGAATATTACCGCTCCACCATTCTCTGGCTTGGACCACCCCATTGATGACGGCGGCCGCACGCGGGACCTTACTGGCGGACGAGAACTGTTCGATGCACCATTCGTGCTGTTCCTAAAAGTCTTGAGCGAGCTAAACTTGCCGGTCCAACTCCAAGTCTTATCGGCGTTGGCGTTATGATCTGTCCAAGGTTGCGCTGTTGGCGACGGGGGTGGAAATCCGGATCCATTGGTTCCAGGGGCTCTCCATTGCGACTGGGGAGCGTTGGCGGATCCGACCTGCGCCTCCGGATCGCTATCGTCAACCATCCTGATGAATGTCGATGCAGCTTGCTTTCCTCTCGATCGAGTCGTTGTTTGGGCGAAATCTGAAGCCTCTTGAAAACTCACTCAGGCTAAGGTATGAGCTTATGAGTCTCGACAGAGCACTTCTTCACTACTATCTGAGGCGCTTCATCAGGCACCCGGCGCAAAATGAGGCGAAGGCCTCCCTCAGCCGCCAAGCACGATTCTGCCTCGTTGATCGGCAAACCCGCCAGACTAACTCATTCAGCCCAGCTATGGAGCCGCTTAGCCCTCTCGCAGTAAGCTTAAGGCTTCGCTCGTGCTTTTGATAAGTTTTCAATGTTCGATGTGGATCAATCTGCCTACTCAGTGAGGCACGACCGCATCTCAGGTCACCATCATGATGATGAAACATCGATCACCACGGTTCAGAATCAAATGTCGCATTTGATGAGTTACCGAGTCAAGGTGATGAACAAAGTTTGAGGACTATCTAGAGAGTGCCGTGTCATTCACGTATCCCCTCTTCAACCTTTCAGAACATCCAGCGGAAACCTGGTCGCAATCTCCTCATACCCAGCCACATTCGGATGCAAGTGATCACCACCATCAAACTGCGCCTTCAACTTATCCCCATCACCAATAAACCCCGCAAAGTCCACGACGTGATCAAACGTCCCGCTCTCCAAAATCCACTTATTCACCCTCACACGCGTCCGCTCCCTCTCCGCGTTCGAGTACGCCTGCCCGCTTCCCGCGAACGGCGTAATCGTCGCCCCGACGGTACCCAGCCCGGCTTTCTTGCAGTCGGCCACAATCTGCTTGTACGCAGCGATGAGCCCGTCGCCGATGCGCTGCTGCGAGCCCGCGTCAGTACCACCGCCGCCAATATCGTTCACGCCCTCGAAGATGAGAACGCGGGAGACGCCTTGCTGGGTGAGCGCGTCGCGGGGGTAGCGCGTTAGGAGGGTGGGGCCGAGACCGCCGCTGAGGACTGCATTGCCGCCGGCTGCTTGGTTTGCGATGGCGAGGTTCGTGATTCCCTCCTTTTGCAGGCGTGTAAGGAGGAGGTCGGGCCAGCTGGGAAGATGTCAGTTGATTGAGATTGTCATGGGACGGGGTTGGCTAACCGGTTGTTCTTGTCATCGTCGCTCCCACGTCCATCCGAGATGCTATCCCCAAGCACAATCATCGCCGACGTGTTTCTGGGAGCCCATGCTTCCACAGCACTGGCAAAGTACCAGTGCTTTGTGCTAGCACCTCCAACTGACGATGCATTCACCTGGTTTCCATTCTGCATCCATGAAGTCGTGCGACTACCGGGATGGCCCGTGATGCGAGTGCCAGACTGACCTTGCTGAGAGTACAGGCTCAGCGCGATATTTGCCTGCGGTAGCACCTTGAAGTCTAGCGGGTCAGAGTAAACGACCGCGCCTTGCTTGATGGTCACGGACGGAGACCCGGAGAAGGTGAGTCCTTTGGTGGTGGCAGGATCGATTCCAGATACGCCTGCGGCTCCGCCGAGCGGAAGGGCGACAGAGGCTGCTGTGATGGGCAGATCTGAACCCCCAAAGGTGTTTGTAAGCTGGAAACGGATGCGTGATGCGCCGATAGAAGCGTAGAAAGTCTGACGAAGCGTTGCGTTGCGGAACTGAACACTTCCTCCATTCTTAGAGAGCCATATTAGTACAGGCACGGTATAGGGGAAGAAGGCAGCATACGTATGGTGACGGTGGAAGATTACTCGGTTCCACCTCTTGGGGCATAGATGTCCATGTCACAACCCAGTGGTTGTCGTCTTGTCGTTCGTAGAGGTTATTGCCAGTTGGGATGGCGAGGGTGAGCGTTGCCCAGAGGAACAGCCAGTATGCCAGCATCATGAAAACCCGCCATGCAAACTCACTTCGGTGGATAGACAAGGACCCTCACTATTCTCAAGGCTGGAGGCAGTCGGGCCTTATTGTTGATATGTAATAGCTTTTCGTTTCAAACCTCGGAATGAAGCCGTCCGAATTTGGGCTGTTTGAACCCCTCCCCCACGTGGCTTTTAGCCAGATCATCCCTGGTCCAAAGTTACTTCCCGTACATCCGTATATCAGCCAAAGTGTGGATGAGACATAGTTAGAGACGAATATGTTATGACGAGTCAAGGTTTCCCCGGTTATGGTGGACAAGCTTTGCAGACAAGATGCCAAGTCCCCAATCCCCATGTCAGTCTCGGTGCCGAAAGCCTGCACTGGCGCGCTATCCATTCATCCCACTTGCATGTCCAATATCGTCGGACTACGTTGGAAAAGATCAGGCATCACGGAAACTCACATTCAACCGTCCAGGCCCGACGAGCAAGGCTCGGAATGGACTGCAGGCCAGATACAACCTCGGCAGTGGAAAGTGAAAGATTCTGGAGGAAGCCAACCGAGTTCTTACTGTTCCTCAAATATTCTTTGTGCCGTTTTGGGAGAAATACTAAGCGATGACCTCCCGGAAGGAAAATAACTTGGATGCGTCAGTCGGCTAAGACATGCGGCAGCTTGTGAACTTGACTGGTTGCATGTGTCTCTACTAATTCCGTTATCGTCATCAAAGGTGAAAAGAGAAGACGGACTTGGAGGATAATTCCTGATACTCTTACTCAACAAAGTACATCAAGCAAGTAAAAATGGCCAAGGAAGCACGGCTTGGAATAATACATACTGTATTAATGTAGGCAGTAATGATGTACAGTTGTATTAAGGACCGTTATGGGTAATTACAGCATCTTGCCTTCACAGTCCATGATCCCACGAAGACCCTCGAGTGATTAATCACGTTCCCAATTTCATTAATCCACCTCTGTGTCGAGATCGCGTGGATTCGCACCTGAGCCTTTGGCTCTCCTCAATTCTTCCTTCCCTTCCTCTTCTTGCACTCCTTTCTCATCTTCCTTGCAACGCATGTACGTCGGGCTGCAGCATCGGTGGGCTTCTGGGCTCTGGGGCGTGAAATGGTTGTTCCCAGGCGCTTCAAGATAGGACGCTTGCTAATGTGCTTCTTGCGTAGTTCAATCCAATGGTTGAAGACTTCGTGGTCCTCCATGGACTCAAGAATCCCGGTACCGTCGGTGAATTGTTCAAGGGAGATCTCCACTGTCTTCTTTATGATCAAATTGAACCAATGGAGAACCTTTTTGTCAGGGTTCCATTGGAACTCAATCGTTGTTGAGGTGCCGAGAGGGGGACTTGGCCAGCGAGAACGCGAGAACGGAAGGTCGTCGGCTTCAGAATCTTCCTCGTAAGCTTTGTAACGACACCGTGTAGCCCACCAGTCGAAGTTGGCGTTTTTAAGTGTCTCGTACACAGCGTGTGCCAGTTTGACTTGTGTGAGATTCTCCAATGAGGGATCGAGCTGACTTATATTGATCCATGAAGAGCAGCTTTTAATCAAGTTGGCCATGCTCTCGGCTGGCTCATATCGACGAAGTAGATTTGCCCAGGAATCTAGCTTGTCTCGAGCGCAGATTGCCTTCAGCTCGTCTTTCGGCGAATCGGACACGATGTTTGAGAGGAACGGCAGTCCCATAAAACCTCTCTGAGTAATAGCCATGTTGTCAGGTATATCGATACCCTGAACGACGATTTGCTTGGAGAAGATACTGTGGCTCTTGTCGTCGTCATTGCCGTGGGACTGTTCTTTGCGCACATATCTCGGCGCTGAGCTAAACAACAAGTCGCATGTGTAGTCCATCTTGATGATTGAAGCGTCTGAAAGGAAATTGACGATGACAAAGTGTGTCAGGTGATGCTGGAGGCAAGATATTCAAGCAATGCAGTCAAACTGCGCGCCGTAAGATAGAGTGGTATGAGTGTTTAAGGCAGTGGGAAGATGATTGAGGATGGACAATGCCAATTTGGAAGAAGACCAGAAGAAACAGTGCAGACGAAGGGATTATATAGGGTCAGCAGCAAGAACCTTTCCCGTCTTGACACCCTTCCAACCCGGTACGTCTTGTTCTCACCAACATCGTGAACAGATCATGTAAATCAGTCCATCCGGGCACCTTTTTCGCTTTCGGAGATAGGTTTTGAAGATTTGAACCGGGAGTGAAAAATAGCCCGACAGGCCTGAGGTAACTGAGAGTGTCAAGAATGAAGCCGCAAGGTTGTAAGATACCAAAATGTATTTGCCTCGTTCCGTCCGACACGTCAAGCTTATTCATATGGGCACTGTATTGGTTGAGTTTGACCGTTTGAAGATACGTAGACTATGGCGATTTCCAAGTAGATACGGAAGCTGACTGGATTTAAGGTGTACACACAAACACATGCCGGCATAGTTCCAAAACACAACAAGTAGCAGGCGGATTTTGTCAATTCTATTACTTGAAAGTCTGCATATCTATACCTAGCTTGCATCCGTGGACATTTAATTTAAGAAACTGTACACGATGTGGAAACACATCAAACGGAGTATTGGCATAAGAACTCATTACCAAGATGATGGTAAGGGTCCCGTCCCTCGACCCCCTAACACCGGTAGCGGAGATGGGTACCTGCAGCCGCCGTCCCCAAGTGGACTAGCCTGGAGCCAGGAAGGTGGCTTTTGGGAATCCAGGTGCCTTATTCCAACCCCAAAGATTCTTTCCACCAACATCTAACTTCTGCCAAACCATGGGCCCTGACTTACTTACTCATGAAAACAATTCTTATGTCAACCTTGAGGTCTTTGCATACAAGTCTTTCGTTTAGCAAAGGATCACTGCTACACAGCCCTCTCGCCCGGCGCCATACACAGCGACACCCCCAGCCTAAGTTCTCATCGACGACCATGCCGAGACGTACCAGAGCAAGTCTGCGAGCTGAGATCAAGGACAAAGCGGAATCTTTGCATATACCAGCTAGCAATGAAACTATTCCACCAAATGCCTCGGAGTCAATCCCAACCCTGCTCTTCGAGGATCACTCCAAGTGGGAGAGCTACCTGGAGAACTCGTACCAAAATGCACTGGGCGTTTGGCTCAAAATCTCCAAAAAGAACGCCGAAAAGCCAACAGTCACGTATGATCAAGCCCTCGATGCGGCGCTCTGCTTCGGCTGGATCGACGGGCAACGCAAAGCCTTCGACGAGCAGCACTTTATCCAGAGGTTTACCCCACGACGGAAGAATAGTCTCTGGTCAAAGAGGAACGTTGACAAAGTTGTGGCTCTGACACAAGCAGAACGCATGAGACCAGCTGGACAGGCTGAGGTTAACGCCGCCAAGGCCGATGGGCGATGGGATCGAGCCTACTCTTCTGCAAGCACGATGGAAGTGCCTTTAGACTTTGCCGAGGCATTGCGCCGAAACGAAGAGGCAAATAAGTTCTTTGATGCTTTGAATAAGACGCAGCGGTATGCCTTCTTGTGGCGGATCGAGACGACGAAACGTCCAGAAACGAGGAAACGAAAGATAGACCAGTTTGTCGATCTTTTAGCTGAGCACAAGACAGTTTGAGAGAAGTTCTAGACCTTGATGCAATGACGGAGATGGAAAAGTTTGTGCATATATCAAATGAGAAAGCCAGAACTTGACACGATTGCCAGTAATGGATCTTCCCTGTGATGAACGAAATGTCTGCAATGCGAGCTTCATGTTGCAACTTGCTCCTCTTCCCATGCGTCTTTTACTCCATTGGCTACCTACATCAGGAAGCAAGCGCCCTTCTTTCAAGCTTTCTGAGCTTCCACCGGCCCAACGTCGCGATAGTGGAACTATGTAAATGGTCTCAACTAAGCTCTCTGTCTTATTCAATTGGAACTTAGGTAAACGTCCAGTCATCTATGTTCTGCTGATTAAGGGGTTCACGCCATCGTCCCCATTTGTTCTTTTCAACATTGTGTACAAATAGATTCGAAGGACTTGACCAAGCCTGAAGTTTGAGCAGGCAATGGCCATGAAAAGAGATTTGAGGAATGGGCCAAAGATCCGGTTCAAGAGCTCCCTTAATTTGATGTAGGACAAATGGATGTGCTTCAGAGAAAATGCATAGTGTCTGGTTAGGGTAGCACAGTGTTACTGCACGCTCCGATTAGGCGGTTGAATTGGACAGGGCATCAAACTACAAGCTTAATTTGACTCACTCGCGCCCTTCGCTCTGCATTTCTACAAGTTGACATCTTGACTGCCGTCTCGAATGACTGCATATGATCTAGTCTGGCCCGAAATGTTGGCAACCCGCAGCACATTGGGAAATGGACTCGTGGAAATCTGCAACTGCCTGTTGCTCCCACTTGCGCCCTTCAATCTCATGGTGCTGTTGAGGCCAATTTTCTCCACGCTAGGCAGCAGCCGTCAGCACCGTCATCCCAGGGGTTTGCGCATTTCCCCGATGCGGACTCCCTCCATGAAAGTAAGCATTCTACACCGTCAAATCATCGCAGCCAATAGAAACTTGGAGATGGGCTTGGCTTCCTTTCTTTCTCACCTCATCGTCGAGTCACCTCTACTGCTACATCTCCACTACTTGACGCCATTCAGATCGTATATCAATAGCAATCACGTTCAACTCCCCAGGGCTACTGTGTGTAAGGTAGACAACGTCAATAAGCCAGACTTCAATCTGTTGACTCAATCTGGACTCTGTTTGCCCGATTTCACCTCCTCCATATGGATTAAATGATGAGCTCTCATATCCACTATGGATGACCTACTCCCTCAAAGATTCGTTCGAATCGCCCGACAGCTCTCGGTAACTCCGGCTGAGCTTATCGAGCCTGTTCTCGCCGACCTCCCATATCATCGTATCCTCGACCTTCTAGGAACTCAGTATGGAGCCAATTCTCCTTACGGCACATCCCTTCAGTCAGCTCTCAGTAACAGCAAAGCATGGGCGGTACTCCGCAATCAAGACCTTGATCACTTGGCGAAATCCTGGATAGCTCTAAACAGACTCTCCTTGTTGTCAGAGGGACAGCTCGTTATGGCGACGAAGCCGAACTCCGAATTCAGGCCTCTACACGCCAAGGATTCATCCTCTATGGTGCCGATGGTCTGGCCACCCCTCACGGTTATTCTTGGGGATGATCTGGTGCGCGCCTTCTCCAGGATGATACTTCACAAGGAAAAGTTTTGGGATCGTGGCACCAAGCTTCACGCCGTCATACAGTATTTGTCCAACCCCAAAGATTCAACAGTCTTCCAACATCCACGGACCGTTGCGGGGTTTCGCGCCAAAGGCTGGAAACCTGAAGATTGTGTCGAAATCATTCCACGTCTTGTGGAGGCACAGAAACTTCTCAATGACGAAAAGACATCAGAGCTCCACCGCCTGGCCGATCTTTACGAGCAGTTCCCAATGTACCTGAAGACGCCCTTGGCACCTCAGACCCCACGGAAGAATATCACTCATGTTCCTCGGCAACTACGGCTGTATGCTCGGAGATCGGGACGCACACTATGGTCATTTCGATACGCTCACCCGATACTAGTACCCTATGACTGGTGTCTCCAGCTCTTTGATGCTGTCAATGAAGAGCTGGACTACTCTTTGGACCTGCAGAAGACGAGAGACGGCATCCAAAGCATTCGCACACTCGGAGATACCCTCCCGCGCTTGAGTTCGACCAAAGGGCAGAAGCTTCAAGAGTACAAGAACGCCATGCCTAGTACTCCAGCGGAGCTAGAGTGGCTTGAGTCTTTTATGCGTGTCGTTGAACAAATGGAATGTCGTTTTCCCGAACTAGCTTCAAGTTTCAAGGAGAGTGCTGCACATCATTTCCCCGAGCGGAAAATTACCAGTCCTCCTGTAATGGCCAAAGATCCCCCGAGTGTTCTTCTAGAACCGTCCGACTTTCAACATTTCATTGCAAATTCACGAGTTCACAACGTCGCAAATCAATTACGATATGATTTTGACCTGTCGAAAAAGGCCGCAAAAGATGAAACAGAGCTGCCCAGCCTTCTCGCTCTTTACATACCCGCGTCATATGTTCGGGAAGTTTCATCCCACCTTTGGCCTAGCCTGGATATAAGTATGAGAGAACTACTATTCGAGCAAATGGTTGAGGCCATCAAGACGAGACTCTCCGATACGCCTTCGATGGCCGCTAACGATGATCCGCCTGAACGGTTGCACCGGCTCATGCCAATGAGCAGTCGCAAACGAAGTTGCTACGTCTGCCGTATGGTTCTCGATAAACCGCATGCACAGCTGGGATCGATGTGCATTCCTTGTGGAGAGTTCAACCTCGCGGAGAGAGCTTTGTCGTTACCCCAGAACATGTCACTCAAGGATAAGACCGCCGTCGTCACTGGCGGGCGTGTCAATCTCGGCTTCCACACCGCCCTGCGGCTGCTTCGTTGTGGCGCTGCTGTCATCGTATCATCACGTTATCCCGAAGACGCCCTCTCACGATACCGACAGGAGGGAGATTTTGGCGAGTGGGCTCAGAGATTGAGGATAATTGGGGCGGACTTCCGAGCAGCAGCTGATGCTTTCGCTCTGGTTCAAAGCATCAAGGAAATCTTACAGCAAGAAGGATGGAAGCTTGACTATCTGATCAACAACGCCGCCCAGACTCTTACAGATCCCCTTGAAAAAGAGGAACGTGCCATTGAACATGAGCGGTTCCTGCTTGAAAAGCTGTCAGACGATGAAAAAGATGTGGTCGTACGCCAAGGCTACTCACCACGAGTACGAGGTGGTGCCAACCGTCTTCCTGGCGGTGTAGCAGGAAAAGTTTCTGACAGTATTGCTGGGCCATCAGCTCCCAACAACACGTCCCTTTCTGACTCAATGTCTAAGCTACAAATATCTAGTACCGAGACACCAGCCCCATCATCTTGGGTTCAGTCGCTCTCGGAGATCCCTTACGAGGATGTCATCACTGCACACAGCGTCAACACTTTTGTGCCTCTGATTTTGATCCGGGAGCTGCTACCTTCGATGCAAAAAGGGGGTCACATCGTCAACGTCTCGTCGAGAGAAGGGATTTTCGAGTCAGCTCACCGTAGCCCTGCCAAGCATGGCAAGCACGTCCATACCAACATGTCGAAGGCTGGCCTGAATATGATTACCGAGACGGAGGCGCCGACGGCTTGGAAGCTAGGTGTGGCCATGAACACTGTCGATCCGGGCTACATGAGCGCCGCTCCAGAATTTGAACAGGCTTATGGCGGCGAGCGACCCATTGGCTGGGAGGATGGTGCCGCCCGCGTTCTATGGCCCATAGCCCGAGAGGGCAGGGAGGGGATGTATTCTTCTCCCCCTATTTGGGGACGATTTTTGAAGCATTATGGCGGAGTGAGAGTTGATACTCGGCTAGGCCGTGGGTGATGTATTTATTCTCAAACCGCCTCGCCATAGGAAGTTCTCTACTATTGCGGTGGACACACATCATGGTTTCGGAGAGTGCATTCAATATACCTTAGTAGATTGTGTTCATGGATCAACCTCTACTGGTCTCTCGGATGGCCATTAATACTATCTTGATATTGAGCGACAGGAGCGTTAATTGAGATGAGGTAAGTATCTATCGATTAACACGATTGAACCCAGAATAACCTCCCACATCGGCTTTTCGAATGATAACCGAAGCTAGTTTACAAAGCCCATGGTCCGCATAAGCCAGTGTTTGGATCTGGGACTTGTTTTGGCCCCTTGACGCAAGTGACATCCTTCCTGCCCCAGCAAGTAGCACCCTTGAACTGTTCCCACGGGACGAATGTGGTTGTGAACTTCTTCCCAACGTTGTTCCACGCACGCCAAACCCTCAAGTCTCCACGGTAGAGCTGTGTTCCCGCAGGACAGGACTTGTCTCCCTGCACTACAGAAGGACTACCTTCAGCCCATCCAGCACAGTCGGGACCCAAAATGAGGCTCACTCCCTTCGATGCAACAGCGAGGGCATCGACGGGATCTTTGGCGCAGACTGAGGTATCACAGCCAACTTGAAGACAGTCTGAGCTCCCAGAGTCGTCGCGGTAGGCACCACGAGGGCTGAGCCCGGTGACATCAATCGCGGTGGCAGAGCATAGCTGGACCAGAGCCAGACAGGCCCAGAGGTTTCTGAAGTGATATTAGCAAGGTTTCTCTTGAACCTATATGCATCATGTGTGCTTGATCGTCGAGGGCAACGTACGCTTTCGTGAAAAGCAACATCTCGATCTTGGTCTGTGAACTACAAGTTGTTCAATGGAGAAGCTCGGCCAAGTGATCGATGGGTTGAATGGGAGGACTAGACAACTGGCCACAGGCTAAGAAGTCCGGTCACAGCATAGCTCTATTATATGTATAATCTTTTGCCAGTCTTAGTTGGCTGGTTCCCTTCGTGTCGGCTCCGTCTCCGTGAGTTTCCTCTCCCACCCGCTTCCGCCTCTTCTTCGCAGCCATGGTCCGCCTCATTGTCGCATAGCAGCGCTCATTTCCGAGAGATGTTCGGGCTCTCTGCAACGGAGAGGCCAATCCCGGTAAGACAAAGTTTTCGACCATCAGGGTGCAGAGATACCGGGCATCAAACCAACAATACTGTTAATCTGGATCTACCTACGAGAAATCAGCTCATGCTTGGGCCGATAGCAGGGCGAAATGCCCATAACAAGCTTTTTTGATTTTTCAATCTTGTCTTGGCAACATTTCTGGTTGATGGTTGACAGAAGCACAGACTTGAAAGAAGCGTAAAAACGCTTGGCCCCATCAGCGATCTGCTCTTAATACCGCGATCAACCCAGCGAAGATTGAGAAGGTTAGCGAAACATGCGGTAAGCGAAGGGGCGAGAGAAATGCCTTTTTCTGCCCAGATGTGTGATCAACTTAGTCACGAAGTGATTCGTCGTTATATTCCAAAAAGAGCGCGAGCACCTGGATAGTTTCAACATTCCACTTTCTGCTGTAGATACAGCCTAGCAGGGAGGAATATGACGATGTTCCTGAGACTGACAATAGTGAAAGCTCATGTTCCCGGTACCTCGAAGTGCCATCACACTAGAACAAAGAGGTTGACTCCAAGATACAGAAGTATGAAAGAGTCGACCTGCGCCAGTCGTAAATAAGACCATCTCTCGAAAATGTTTGCCAGTAATGGAACGCTTCAATAGCACACATTCTCTCTAATAGAGATGCAAGCAAGCTTGACGAGCAATCTCTTGGTCAATGTCTGTACTACAGTCCAGATAAACTTTTCAAAGCAGCCCCCATCCTTGTTGTAACTCCCGCACCCAGCACTCTGCCTTATTGCCGATCAGATACCGAGATTAGCAGAGTCAAAGTGATAAATCACATCTAATCAGATTTCGATCAAAGTTTCGGCAACCTCCGTAGAAGAGACAATCGTGAAGTCTCGTCAATCACTGCAGACCTCATTTCCACAATTCGCCTCATTTAGGTTTTCGCGACGAAAATGTCGCGGACGACCTGAGGATGTATCCCACATGCGCTACTTGTTGTCACCCTAGAATCCCGTGTTTACTTCCTGCCCATCACGAAGACGCCTGTTGAGGAATGTATAAGACTTCGTCAGCCACCAGCAGCCTTCAATCCAGCTGGTACTTGCAGGTAGAGCTCCTTCGCAACCGGTCACGTTCCTTCAGTCTTCATACGTCGTCTTTCTTGCAATGCGCCTCTCAATTGTAGCCGTCTGGCTATCCTCAGCCACGGCCCTAGCCGCCGCCGCTGTGGACTGGAAGACTGTCAAGTGCCAAGGCACCGTCGTCGATGCAAAGGCTTTGCCTGACAAGCGATGGGCGGCGGCCGGCGCCACCGAGGCTCTCTGAGGTGCTCAAGGCCTGGAAGGAGTACGACTCTGGCCCGAACGAGGTCAAGTTCGAGTTCAGTCAGTTCGCGTCGTGGTACCTCGGCGGCCCGGAGATGTGGCGATGCACGCAGCTGCTTGACGTGCCTTGCTCAACTTCGTTGACGTGCGAGGATACCAAGTACCCTGCTGGTCATCTGATTCTCAACTCCTTCTCCAAGATGCACCAAGTAAGTTCTATATTCCATTGAGAGACATTACATGCCGTAGGCATATGAATAGTGACTAACAGCTGGTTTAGTTCCACCGCCGTTACTTCGAGGCTCTTGACCAGGCACAGATGGACATTCAGTCCGAGATGGGTCTTTTTGCCGAGAAGTTCTCTGTTCCTCTTGCGGAGAGCGACTCATCCGCAAGAATGCAAAGAATCATGCTCAACGTCATCTACGGAGTCGTTGGTATTGCGCAAGCTTACACTAACAACATCTGTTAGTCACCCTCAGAAGCACCCTCTACCGTTTTCAAAGCTAACGACTCGAAAAGTTGTGTACTCTACGCTGTTCCAGAGTTTTCTCACCCAGACAATGCGATCTCAAATCACCACAACCAGCAGTTACACGATCTTCACCAGTTGGGCCATCGGAAAGGATTTCCTGCTTCCGTAAGTCTCAACCTCCATACATGGTTGCTCACGAAGATTTGGAGCACTGACACCTGCGAACAGAGGTGCTTCACCCAAGCCCGCTTACGGAACATTGTCTGCCATGATGGGCGATGTGTTTGACAGCTGGAAGGCGGCCGAGGTCGAGTACCTCAAGAGAATCTTCACCCCAAGAGATGACGCCACGATTAAGTTCTTGACAGCCGCGCTGGACAATGGCCTGATGTCTGCCACCCCCGACGACATTGACTTCAGGGAGATGTCCAAGGTGATCAAGAAGCTCTTCTACCCCAACCTCATGCTGGCCGCCTGGGAGACTGTCCCCTCGGCTCGGAGACCCTTTGTCCTGTATGTTGCCCATTTCCGAACGTCCCTCGACGAAACGTCACTAATACGTAGGACCAGCCAAACCGGTCTCCCCTGCAAGATGGGCAAGACTGAGAGAGACGATTCCCTTTGGCCATTCTTGCCTGCCGACTCGCACGAGAGAGCTGCTGCCTGCTACAACGGCGCTCTGTTTTACCTGCTCGACATCAGGAACGAGGGGGTCGAGTTAAGCATTGGTCACCCCTCCATCAGGCCCAGTGAGAACAACCCCTTCTCCGCTCTCTTCGGTACGGACACCATGGATGGCAAGCAGTGGGGTGGTGTCACAAAGGAAGACATCGTCGCCGCTGTGTATGGAGGCTGGGTCGAGGGCGGCCGGATGAACAACAACTTCAACATGAATTACACCAACATCCAGCCCAGCGAGGGATCTAGCTTGTGGTTTGGAAATGGCATTCGCGTGCCTGGCTACGTCAAGATGCCGCTCTGCAACAACATTTACACCATTGTTGGCAATGTGGAGTTTGGCAAGCCAGAGACCAACCCTTCCTGGCCTTGTGCTAGTCTTCCCGTCATTAAGCCTTCTAGATAATCACGTTTGGCTTTGTATAGTTTTAGGCAATTTGGCTTAATATGTGGAAAGCTCCAAGAACTGTTATGAGGATGATGATCCAGCTCAACTTCTGCACTTGACTACCTGAAGTATCAATGCCATGATATTGCATGTTGCTATACATGCAAACCTGATTCCAAATCGCGCTGGTAATGTAAGTCTAACATGGACTTGCACTGTACTACAGTGTTCAGTCTCTAGATGTAGCTCTACTCCGTTCAATATCTCGCTACGAAAATTGAAGAGAACCCTTCCCAACAGCAACACTGAAATGCGCCATCGTGACATCCTGTCTTGCCCACATTCGCTGCATATTTTGGTATACTAAGAGCTTCAGCTGGCCGAATATGAGTTAGTCTGTTCTGTTGGTAATCTCCTACAAGCGACACGATGAAAGACCTGTTGGTTGGTCCTCAAAGCTATCCCCGCCACTCCACTGCCTCTTTGAGCACTGCTTATGCAGTCATACGGCGACTTACGCAAATAGGAAGGTCGTGAAGCACTTCAGCGGCGTTCTTGGGCCATTCGTTCTTCCTTCCATCCAACGAACTTGGGTCTAGACCTTGTGCTCGTGGATATTGTATTTCGACCGCAGTTTATAAGACCGGTGAGAACGGCTATGAAGTCCCAATTTCTATCAGCTTGTGCACGACCAAGACCCTGTATCATCTTCACCGTTGCTCAGGTGTTAGACATCCAGCAAGCCGAGAGATACACTCATCGGATAGCTCGAGGAGCCTCCATTATCTCACCATGTCAGAACTATCGGTCTCGCGGTCGATCCCTGTCGCCGAACTCCAGAACCCCACTGTATTTCTCAGTCAAAGACTTCAAGAAGCATCTCTTTCAGACTCGGATGTGGGCGAATACGACACCGAATCATCCGGCGAAGACACTGCGCCCCAGGAAGTCTTCAACCCCAGCCAGTGCCTCTTTTGCAATGAGCTCAGCACAGAATTCGCAGAAAGCATGCTGCACATGCAGAAGCGCCATGGTCTCTCTATACCGAATCCCGAAAGTCTGATAGTAGACCTGGAGACGTTGGTCAAATACTGTCATCTCGTCATGGTCGAGTACAAGGAGTGTCTCTACTGCGGTTCCGTCAGGAACACCGCCCAGGCCGTTCGGCAGCACATGACAGGCAAGTCACATTGTCGGATCGAAATTGGTAAACCAGACTCAGAGTTTAGAGACTTTTATGATCTCGGCTTTAGTTGTGGCAGAGACAGCGAGGACAATTTCGGATGCCGGCGTTTCGCCGACTCGGACGAAGACAGCAGAGAGTTGGCATCTGGAAAGGTCGTATCGCATCGAAATGGGAAGAAAGCTAAAAATCACCGGAAGCCTACTCAAGGCCAGAGGGAAGCCAGCGACTCACTGCTGGTTGGTAAAGGTTCACCAAGAGAAGACAAATCGACAGCCTTGACAGCAAGTGGTAATAGCAAAAAGGATCTAGCGGCAGCAGCAGACAAGCGGGACAGAATTCTTGAGAAGCGATTAGCCACGCTTCGCGTAGCCGATCGACAGGTCTTGTCGCACTTGCCACTCCCGCAACAGAGGGCTCTGGTAGCCAAGGCGAAGAAACAGCAAGAGACTTGGAACAGCGAGCAGATGGCGCAGAAGATTAAGATTCAAATGAAGGCCAGATGAGGGCCTGCCTACAATATGTATCAACCGATTTCACCCTATTCGATAACGTTGCTATTGCTTGTATCATGGCTGGAGTATAGGAGACCATTACTCCCGCACGGGAAACAGTGCTGGATCGGAGCGGAAGCCCGGACTCGGCATAAGTGGGGCACAAAGCCGTTGCTGGCCGGCCGATGTTCAGGGCCAACTCTGAATATGTCTTCAAAGCCATCCACAATGAGTTTCAAGAGCTGTTTTTGTGTCAAAATGATGAATTGACGTACATAGATACGCATAGGTTCAAAAAGCAAAAGAAATGTGACAAGAGTGGGATTCGAACCCACGCCAATTACTTGACTAGCACCTGAAGCTAGCGCCTTAGACCGCTCGGCCATCTTGCCTTGAATCTCCTGGCGGGCTTGCAAACTAAGAAGCGAGGCCTTCGTCCGCAGCCCCTCGCAAGTGCGCCCGTCGACGCGCGCGACATCCACCTTTTGCAGGTCCAGTCGCCGACTTGAAGATTCTCTAGTTGAGGTCATCGGGGAGGAAAGAGACTGGACTTCTCCTTACTTCTCATCGCTCAGCTATCTTGCCTTGGTCTTCCTGGAAGACAGGAGTGAAGTATCATTCCTGAAGTGCAGATACTGAGTATAGATATGAGAACTACTTATCTAGAATGTTGCGTTTACTTCTCAGCATCCGTTCAGGAATGCATAAACACTCGAATCTTCGATTCCAATGTATAAGTACTCGTCCCTACTGTCTCCATTCAAGTCCCCAAAGGTCACCATATTCGAGGTTGACCAATTTGGTAAATAACTTACTCCGGAAGCGATTGATCCCGGGTTCCACCACACCAAGGGAGCGACTGCAGCCCAGTTCTGGCTCTGCGGGCCGCGGTTATACCACGCATTCAGCCCGCCTGTAGCACTATCAACGGCGATGTAATCATCACGGCCGTCACCGTTCAAGTCGGCAAAACGAATGTTCTCACGGCTGGTGCCGACTCCACTAGCGATCACGCCCCAGTTCCACCATCCCCAGCCGCCTGTTTCGCGACGCCCTTGGTTGATGTATAGGGTAGCCGCGCCATTGTCGGCGAGGTGGATGAAGTCCGCTTTGCCATCGCCATTCATATCAGCAAAGCGCACACCTGTACATCAAAAGTAAGGTCAGTTTAACACTTCAAACACCAAGTTTAACCAGAGAAAAGGCAGTGAATCAAATCAACTAGTGACTTACCTTGGCCGTCTCCAATGCCCGTGGCAATCTCTTCGCCGGCGCCTGGACCCCAGATAACTTTGACTTGGCCATCAGAGGCGAAGCCCCTATTCCACCACACCGTCGCAGATCCAGAATCCTTGACCCAGATAAACTCGGAACGACCATCACCATCAATATCAGCAAAGTGAACCTGGTGTCCCTGTGCCCCGCCACCACTTGCAATAACGCCAATAGACTGCCACTGAACCTTACCAGCATTTGGACCCTCGTCGGGAGCTTTGCCAATGTTCCAGTACATGTAAACCTCGCCGTTCTCACTGACGTGGAGATAGTCGTCCCGCCCGTCGCCGTCAATGTCCGCCATGAAGACACCAGTGACGTTATTCTCGAGGGCCGCGCTTCCGAGCCCACCGCCAGACGCGATTGTGCCCTGAGGGATCCAGGTGGGCACCGTCCCGCACACGACACCGCCACCGCCGTTGTCCGGAGGCTGACCCGCAACAGGATCCTCAATCCAGCCGTTCTCGAATGCCCGCTGCACGCCGTTCCACCAGTTAGTGGCCATGATAATGTAGCCTAGGTCGTTGGGGTGCAGCCCGTCGATTAGATCCGCCGTGCTGACAGCTTCGTCCATGCGAATAAGTAGCACCTTCTTGCCATCGTCCGCGCGGGCGTTTATAGCATTCTCAATGCCGTCATTAAAGGCGTTGGTACGAGCTTGCATGCTTGTGGAGGTGGATGGTATGATGCGGGCCACGAGCACGGTTGCATCAGGACATTTGGCGATAATCATGTCAACCAAGCTCATCAGGCGGTTGACAGCTCCTGCTGCACCGGCATCGCTGCCCATGTCGTTGGTGCCCGCATGCAACAGAACAACGTTAGGCCGCTGTGGGAGAACGCGCTCTGCGTACCCGGAAATCTCGTCGATTATGGCGCCGTTGTGGCCCTCGTGGTCGGCATCTTCGGCATCGCCTGACCGAACGGAACCGATCATGTCAACAACGTTGTGAACCTCAGTGGCGAGGTTGTAGAAGTAGCCGCGGTACCCGGCATCGCTGCTGCTACCGAAGCCGTTGGTAATCGAGTCTCCTAAAGGTAAGACACGCAGGTCTGGTCGCTCAGGTTCAGGCTCGGGCTCAGGGTCAGAGGGAGGATTGCATCCGTTGTTGGGAGGTAGGTTGCCAGGCGAGCCCTCGTCGATGTCTTTGTCAAACTCAATCAGGAGAAGAGGATTGGTGCAAATGACTTGACCGTTAGCGAGCTTGCTACATTGCCAGTCGACGAGTTTCCCCAAATTGTCCGCAAACTGATGGCCGATCCCGAAACTTGCACTTCCGAAATTATGGTTCTCCAGAATATTGCGATGATCCGACGTAGGGAACCCGTTCCAACTGACCAAATCAGCAAGCTGCCATTCCTTTTTGTGATTCTCCAACTCGTCATCCGCAGCATTCGCGAATCGGAAGGCATGTGTTGAGGGCCCGTCTTTATGGTAAACAATCTATCAATACACGTTAGGCGATGAGCTACCACGGGTTCAGAGTTACTGTCATACCTTGGGATGGACTTCATTGTGCCATCGCACCTCGTTCGCATTTTTGCAGTCGTAACCGCCATGTGCCGAGGCACATACTATTTTTTGTACGGTGCTGTCATCTGGAACCAAGACAATAATATGCTCCCAGTCATGGCGGTGCCCAGTACCGGGTCCGACAGCATAGTCCTTCTCAAAGTAGTAGTCGTACATGTAGGCACACCAGCCGTTGTTACATCGCTGCCGTGAGCTACAGCCAATCTGGTCAGCATTAAACAGTCGAGTGAATGATTGTCGAGGAGCTGACTTACTAAACGTTGGAGTTGTCAAGATCGGCCTCGTCACGACAGCCTTGCCACTCGCCACTGCCTTCGTATAACCCCTCAGAAACACGCTTGTCGCAGCCGATAGCAGGCACATTGTAGCAACCATTCCCATCAAAGTCTTAAAGGGAGGTTAGCAGTTGGAGAACAAGTAGTTACTAGCGCTATTGTAAGAAGCTGTCTTACCAAGAGCTGGCTGGTGGCGAAGATCGTTTTCCGTAGCCCATTTTGGAAGCTTCGTAGGGGGTTCAGCAGTTTGTCTCAGCGTAAGAGCACGAGAGGGCGAGACAAGTGCTGCTCCAAGGAGCCAGAAAGCGGCTTTGGCTAGAGCACGTTGCCCTTTTCGCGATGACATGGATAACGACATAAATGCGAAGAACAGCGTCCTTTGCCGAGAATCTAACAGTTTGCTTTTGGGCGATTACGTTAAATGGAGTAACCAGCAACGGGGACACAATTTATATATTTCACTTCTTACAACCTATATATAGAGACTTCGATAGACAGGCAGCTTGTTGCGAGGTGGAAGACTTCACATCTTTGCTGAGCCTTCGTTGTCAATTCCGAAATATGGGCTATCAAGAGCAGTTGCCTAAGAGAGCGTAGCAGAACATGGTTGAAGTGAGATATTAGGTCATTCGTTAGTTTGTCTTGGCTAATCAATATCCTAGCTAGAATGAATGCTCTGCGATATCTTCTGCTTTTGTTTTCCATAAATGCCAAATTACTTATGGCATTCAGAGCCGATAAGGCCCTGATCTCCTCGCAGCCAGAGCCAGTCATGGGCCAGAACCAGGACTGCTGCATCCATTGTCAAGCACGAAGAGTGGGTCAAAAGAATCATGAGGTGTCTGGAGTGGGCTGAGGATCGAAGATATCTGCTTCCATGGAATATAGCGTCTAAATTAAATGCATCTTGATTTTGCTTGCCTCATCTGGACGACGCTGGCTCACCTGAACATGCACATCGGCTTACATGATTTGCCAAGCCAGCAAGCGAGCGAAGTTAAAATTCATATCTGACATAAGAACATCCCCTGTAGAGAAGACTATGCTTGAGGTTGCCGATGCGGAGGTAATTCACCGCCGCAAGGCAGCGAGGTTGTGTGTCGAGCCCTTGCGCGCCTTCGTCTTTCTAACTATTATTCTACTTGTATCCTGACATCTGGTGGAGCCAGGCCGTGGGCGATACTTACCTGCGGCTATCCCACCAAGCCGATCATCACTACCAACCCTGTCAACGAGAGGCCCAAGACGGCCAAGACGGCCAAGACGGCCGCATGCAAGGTCTGCTCCATCGTGGGGCGCAACGACATGGACTGCGCCGGCTTGCCCAGCTGTACCCCCGGGCCCACCGCCATCGAGGAACCTGAGCCCGAGCCGACGCCCTCGGGCGAAATATGCTTCGCGAGTTGGGTAGGTGTCTGTATAGAAGGCAACAACGACTTTGGCTACGTCGCCTTCAAGCACGATGATCTCTGCGGCCGGGACTCGGTCCGTGTCGACGAAATCAACACTGAGGGTGCGTGCGACCTGGCCCGGAACAAGGTCTCGTTTATGCTGTGCGGAGTGGAGGCGTATTTTGAAGACTCCGGGCCGTATTGGGAAACACTCGGGTGCGGGATGCAGCTTGTGGTGGACGACAAGAGGTATCCTGCTGTGAAGGTTGGCTCCAGTGAAGCCCCGTGTTTTGGCACTTGTACGGCGGGAGCCGCATTCGGGTCTGCCATGGGAGTTTTGAAGTTCCCGAATGTGCCCATCTGCGAGTGAAGTTAAGTCTTGCTGATGATGATATTTTCCCTCATATCATCGTCATGTGTGAAGGGAGAATGCCTCCCGATGCAACTATTATGTCGATCGAGACCATCATCCGGCTTGCATGGGCCTCATGTCGGGCAAACAACTAGCTTTGATTAACACATTTCGAGTATAGTCTTACAACAGACTCTATGTCCATATACCCCATGCTCAACTCTAAGGCTGACTCCTCCCATTATTACCATCCGCCAGATTCTCCGTGCTCCGCCCGGCCTTGACCTCCTCTCTCCAAACCGACCTCTCCTGCTCAGCAACACCAGGCCCCTTGTACACACTTCCATACAACCCAGAAGCCCAGCTCGCGCCATCCTTGGCCTTCTGACTCTTGCTGTCCTTGAACTTTCGACGATACCATTTTCCGTAGGCCAGCAGGTAGTACAGCCTAAAGCACAAGAGCGCAAACTTGTCGTGCTCCAAGTCTTCGGGGTAGTCTGCGCCCATGTCGACAGCGGCAGCAATACCAGACATGATGGCGACCTCATGCGCGTTGACCAGAGTCCATGAGCCTGCGAAACGGACGCGCTTCTTAGCTTGGAGGAACATCATCCACGGCACGACAAAGGTGTAGTGCTTCCACGTGTGGCAAAGCTGATGCCACCAGTCGGCGCGGATAATCTTGTCCTTGTCAATCTCACTGTCGGTCCAGTGCTTGCGGTCGCGGTCCTTGTTCAGGTAGATGGTCTGGAAGACATGCTGCTCGAAGGGAACCTTGTCGGGGAACTGGGACTGATAGTTGGTGGTGTCAAAGCACATCTCCAGCTTGGAGAGGTCGTCGTCGTACATGCGGATGTAGTACATGGGTCTGAAGTTGTCCTTGGCGAACGCAAGGCGGGATGACTCGTCAACCTCGCCCTTCTTGCCGAGTGTCTTTACGGCCTTCTTCTCATCGTAAAAGTTCTCATAGTACTTCTTCATATAGTCGGCATCGTTGTGAGTGATTGTGATATCGTCGGAGAAGGTAGCCGAGCCGAGCACCTTGCGCTCGCGCCATGATGAGGTCTTGCCCAGAATCTTCTTAGCGGTGTCGGCAAGGACACACATGACGATCTCGTCGTAGTGTTCCTCTGACTCTATTGCATCTGGGTCGCCGCCAACGGGGTTATGTCCGTCTTCCACAGGGGTACGGGGCTTGGTCTTGACGAGGACGCCACGCTTGTTGCGGTGGACAACCTCGGTGAGCTCCGTCGACAAGCGAACAGTCACGCCTCGAGACTCAAGATCCTTCTTCCAGGTGGTATAGAAATCGGTAAAGTTGGGGAAGACGACCATGGGCGGCTGATTGGAGGCGACGCTATTCGGGTCGGCGGGGTACCACATTCCGTACGTTGGCGAAGTACAAAGACGTTCCAGCATGATGGCGGGCACCTCTGGCGTCGCGTTACCAGTACCAAGGAAGAGAGCAGTCATGGGCAATCCCACGACATTGGTAAACTCGTCCGAGAATCGGAATAGCTTAAAGACAATCTTCAACGGCAGTAATGCGAAGAAGACTTCGAACCACCTCATGATCTTCAGCATGAAGGCCAGTCTGCGAACTTCGGCCTGGTGCTTCTCGATGAACTCGGTCGGGAAGACGTTGGTCCAGAACTTATCGTCCTTACCGAAGGAGACTTGAAGCTTGACGGGATCCGCGTGGTAGCCTTGGCGGGCGAACATGGTCAACGTGTGGTGGAAGATGTAGCTGCCGCCCTGTACACCCTGGTTGAACCAGCTCGCGCCGTGGCGCTCCTTGTTAATAGGCATCGAAAAGGCCTGTCCTCCGCAGTAATCGACCGAGTCGATAAGGGTCACATCGAACTTGTCCGGGTGGTTCGAGAGATGGTACGCCGTCGACATGCTGCAACGTGTGAGTCTCTCGCTGTGCAAATGCCAATCGTCTTTCTCAATTATCTAACTTACCCAGCAGCACCGGCGCCGACAACGAGAACCCTCTTTCGCCCATCCTTGCCTGTATTTCCGTTTTGCGACATGGTTTTGGAGCCGTTCTGCTCAAGGTCACGATTGGGATCTTGAGATGCCATCAATGTCAAAGGAGATATTCGTTATCCCACCACATCAAAAAAGCCATCCCAGCTGGTATGCGGACGCGTGCGGGTCAAATATGGGACGAGAAATGTGTAGCTATGGCGTCTATGACGCTGTGACATTGAGTTTAATGAGGTCACCACCCGCAAAGCGCCTCTTTGTTGTTCACCTGCGCCCACTGCGCCCAGGGGAGCAACTAGCGATCGATCCGGGGGATCCACCCCCAAGAAGATCCTAAAGATCGGGACTAGGGTGTCACGGTGCTTAAATCGTTAGCGGATGCGCTGGACGAAGCCTGTCACACCTCGTGCGCTCACATGTAAACATGAGCGTGTCACTCTTTTTCACCTTCATCACGATGAGAGAGCTTTGAGCTACTCAAGGGTGAAGTTCTAGACCACGTCGAAAGTTCGGGGCTTAAGACGAAATGTTCTTCACATGAACAGCCGTACCATGAACTTGTCGAATCTCTCGTCCAGACTAACACAATGCAGAAATCACCCCACTATAGCTTTTGTTAACACTCAAGTGAAGGTGTTCGTTCAAGAGGCAGTGAAATGCTTAGATACGTGTATGAATTCCCGATCCTGGCTGTCAATTCAATCTGCTTATCTTGCCCAAGTTCACAGCATTACACGATATGTCTCAACTCACTCTCGCCATTCAATCTTACCGTTCACTCTCACCGCTCACTCTCATCACCCATTCAGCAGAGCCTCTCATCAAAGCTTAGCAGCCTTCTGCAACTGCCTCACAAACCGCCCGTCATCCCTATCCCACCAAGGCCAAAACGGAACACTTTCCCGATCAACTGTCCCCGTAAACTCGGGCTTCCTCCTCTCCAAGAAACTCTTCACCCCCTCAACATTATCCTCCGTCCCAGCAAGCTGCACGAACACCCTCGAATCCAACACGTGCGCCCCCTCAGGGGATGCCGGACAATATACCATCATGTCCCTCATCAGCTTTCCACTCACCAACGACGTATTCTCCGCCAGATCCTCCGCCAACCTCACCGCATACTCTACCGTCTCTACCGGCGAGGGCAAAAACTTTGAAAACAGCCCGCTGACAAGCGGATCCGTGACGGGGTACATGTCCCCCGTCGCCACGACGTGGTTGGCGCGCGAAAGGCCTATGAGGCGCGGGAGGAAGAAGGCGCTGCAGGATTCGAGGACGAGGCCGCGCCGGGAGAAGGGGAAACCGCACCGCGCGCCTTCGTAGGCTACCCGGATCGTGGCCGGGAGAATCATGGTCAGACCGACGCCCGCGGCTGGGCCGTTGACGGCGGCGATGGTGGGTTTTTTGCAGTTTGAGATTGCCAGCGCTACACGTCCGCCCCTGTGTGAAGAGTGAAGTATGCATCAGTCCGAATTTCGCGTTAAGCATTCTGTGGGATCACTGTTCCTCTGGTTTTGAAGTCAGGCAAGTCTCACCAATCTCTGAAATCCCTCATTGATTCCTCCGTCTCCTTGAGGGCCACCATACCCATAAACCCAACATCCAGGTCCGCGCCTCCAGAGAACGCCTTGCCTGCTCCCGTGATGATAACCGCGCGAACCCGCGGGTCCTCGCTGACGGTGTTGAAGATCACCTCGAGGCCGGTGAACATATCTCCCTTCATGGCGTTGTACTTTTTGGGCCGGTTGAGGGTGATCATGATAACCTTTGTGACGGATGGGGAGCTCGCTGGGACATGGGAGACGAGTAGGCCATCGTAGTTGAACGAGGCATACGACTCGGGCAATTCGTTTGAGGAGGCTGCCATTGTTTTTGTGAATCTGTTCTATGTGTGCTTATGATTTGCTATGAAAGATGAAATTGCCGTGGACGATGGAACGCAAACATCCACTGCCGCTAATTCCAGTTATTCTACTTATATGTCTCCCGTCTGCAGTTCGCGGGGGGAGCCTCGGCATATTCATCACTGCATGTAAGTAATCACTAATCGACAAAACATCAACTTGGCCGAAGCATCCTGCGAAATGCCTGTCGACCCCGCGTTCAACCCGTCGACTCCAACTTTGAGTCCCGGCAACTGAGTTCTGGAGTGACATTGACCACACTTGTGTGCGACGCCTCGGCCGGCACTTTTGTTTGCTAGTACATCTGATAGAAAAGATGATAATACACTTAAGATGACGGCCTGGCGTTACCGCCGGTTCATGGGATCTAGGTCTCATGAGTCTGTCTGCTCTTATTAACGCCAGCTTTCCTAAGTTGGCAAGTCTAGATAGGTAGGAAAAGACTTAATAGAGGCTGATGGTTATTCATCGCCTACCGAGTCTTGGCTCGGGACGATGTCATTACCCACAGTCACGAAGTAAAGAATGATCGGTGGCCGCTCAATTATATGGAAAGCAGAAGCGATGACAACCAACCGCTTAGCAAAGAATACAATGGGATGCCGTTCAAGAGTATGAGCTCTCATCGTTTCTTCATGCCGTCAAGGGCCAAACATAGCTTCCCATACCTGTCATGGTCAGTAAGCTGCTGAGCACCGCTTCAACTTGGCTACAATCATACGTTCCGTGGGATGTAAGTCACGAGCGTCGTATTCCCTGGTCCTGAAGGAACCAGAAGCAGCTCGATGGCGTGTTTCACGGAATTCCCTCTATTCTCGATTGAAGACTGCTAATATAAGACATGCGAGCAAGTCTCTGGACTTCCAAGCCGGCGCTTGGCAGGAGAGCAGATCCCGCCAAGTATCACCCTCAGATGTTGACATCAAGCCTGGACGCCATGCCCTGGGATCAAGCCCGTTTGGTTCTTCAAAGATCCTCAAACACGGGCTCCTCCTTCTCAGCAGATAATCTCTCGGCAATAGCGTTCAGCCACGCTCCCAGCCTCACGCCCGCCTTCCCAATCACCTCATCGACGACTTCCCAGTTCTCATCAAAGTACCCCTCGCTGAGGTCATTCGACTTCAACCAAGCCAGGCCCTTCTTCAGAACGTGCGAACAGACGTACGCATTCGACTCCGTGGCCCAGCCCAACGCACACGAACCCGTCTTGAGATCAATGCACTGCCCGGCCGTTGCGTTGACACCCGCCTGCTCTTGGCGTTGATAGAGGTCGGCTGCCCATGATGCGGCGGCAACCTTCTCTTGCGGAATGCTCAGGTGCGGCGGCAGACCGCGGATGCGGTGCGGGATCTGCGAATCCCAGACGGAGTGCAGGCTCATGGGGCCGTTGCAGACGCCGTGGTTGGGCTGGCGGCGCCAGCAGACGGGGCGGATGTCGTTGCCGCCGCGGAGGAGACCTGTGGCGTGCAGGGGCTGATGGATATCGCCCAGGAAGTGTATTACAAACATTGTCGCGTTCTTGCGGTCAATGTGGGGGAGGCTCGTATCGAGGATTTGAGATGTCTGGCCCGAGCAGGTCAGTCATGATGATTCTTGCGATGCAAGCGTGGTTCTTACGTAGTTTGTGATGGCGGAGATGATGCAGCCGCTGGATGGGCAGTCTTGAGGGTACTTCATGCCGCACATGCTAGGGGGGTCATCGCGGGGATCTGGCAAGTTGTGAGCAGGCATTTCAATCTTTTGGCCGTGGCTATGGCATGGCCAAGGGATAGGATGCGTACTGATGTAGTGATACTTGCTTGCCCAGCCCATATGGCCTCTGAGCGTATCGGCCCAAGTCGCAGCATCGGAGAAGTCATAGTTGCGATCGTTGGCGAGCAGGTCTCCGTAGATGGCGGCGGCTTCATCAGTCAAGTATTTCTCGGCGAGGTATCCGACGGTACGGTGACCGACATTGCCCCAAGAAACGACCGGTCTGGCGGCCGCGGCCAGGAGAATAGTAGAGAGACGCATCTTCAGTTATGTTGAAGATGTATGTGTAAGAGCGTTGTCGGTTCTTTAGCAACCTGCGACGCAAACGCGGAGCTTGGAGCTCTTATCAGATATCGCCGGTCCCCCTCCAGCCAGTGACCTGTGCGACAGGCTAACCCGTTGCATCGCACTATTGGGCTGTCACCTCTGAAGTGGCTGGCTGCCGTCTGATGTGGCACGTCGAGACACGGCGGCAGCAGCTCTCGGAGACTTCCGCAGTTGAACGGCCATTTGGTGCTTTTGATTGGAGAGGGACACAGCAGGGCTGAGACGCAGGTCCAGAATCGGGACAGGAGCTCTCTGTTCACGACTCAGCTTGAGGGGAGCTATACTGGCGAGGTGTGAACACTGGACAGCTGAGAGCTTTGCCAACAGATTGGCGTGCCAGTCGTGCCAGCCTGGTGCCAGACTCTGCCGGTTGGCCTGTGTGCGGACTGAATCCGTTGAGTATTGGATGAAGATGGCGTCTCGATCGGCGAGCTGAGGATATTTGGGAAACGATTGTCAGGGTGAATGAGCCGGCAAACGGAGTGCCCAACTGCGTACCGAAGCAGCTGTCCCGGCCGAGCTCGGATCTCCATTGACGGCCCGGGGGGCATTCTGGCACAGTACGCAGTATGCAGATGCTTGACTCAAACGATACCATTTGCCGAGGATGTAATCTGTAGCTGTTCCTATCTTGCCTTGCCTGCTACAACTGAGCCTCGAAGTGTTGGCCAACATTTGGTGGTAGCTGTTAGATCATTCAGCAACTGCTCAAGATGCGCAATCAATGTCTCACAGCTTCGGCCACAAACCAATGAGCCGTCTCGAAACTTAGCACAACGTCTGCCTCCGAGTGGTCATTGAGATCCCCCGTGGGGTGGCACTGGTGGACGATTGGCGCCATCAGCCGCTGGTGGACTGTGGAGGGCGAGACAAGCTCCTAGACCCAGGATTCCCAGAGAGTCAAGACTGGAGCGCTGACATTGCCGAGGCGGGCTTGGCTCAGCTTCAGCTGTTGGAGGGTGGCGCATTGATGCCCTCCATTACCAGACTCCCAAGTGCCTGCGTCCTGGCACGTAGGAATGCCCGGGACATGGCAGGGGTTCCTCACATCAACATGGCTCCCGGCACCTCAGGCCGATGGTGTGCTGTGTGTGAAGCTGCGAGGAACCAGTTCCTACTCGGTCCAGGATGAAGACGGCATCAACGGATAATCCACAGCGAGTGAGTGAATCAAGCTGGTGGGTGTTAATCTTGTAGTTGCATCGCACTTTGGAGTTGGAGTTGGGAGTCCACTGGGCAAAAGCTTTGTTGTTAGGTACCTACTCACGTACGGAAACTTTGGCATGTTTGGATGCCTTGCCCAGTTTGGGGCTTGCCTTAGGTACCTAGGTATCTAAGGTAAGGAAGATAAGCAAAGATAAGATAAGCCTGACCCAAGACCGCCCGATAAGGATAGGTGACCCCAGAGTCCCGTCCTTTGAAGTTTGAACAGCTGCCGCATATCGGGCTGCTGCAATTTGCGCCTGCCAATAGCGTCCCAAAGCCTGTAATTTGGCTGCAAGGACTCCTAGAGTCACTTATCACAGACCATGTTTCCCACCACTCCAGTGAAGTAATTCCCCGCCGTTGGCGATAAGCAGGCGAAGAAAGCTGACGTTATCATTGATGCCATCACGAATTCCGCACCCATCTAATTACCCCTCTGCCTCGATGCACAGCACGCGACACACGATATCTCACAAGCCACCACCTTGCTGTCAAGCCTAAGACGCTTCACCTACTTTGACTGGTCGACCCTTGACTCATTCATCCGCCCAGCCACACAGCCAGAACGAGCCGTTTCGACAGCCCCCAGAACCACGGCAAACGACTAGGTACTAAGCATCAGCCACCATGTCTGAGGACCTATTCAGACCAGCGCTGATCGTCGTTGACTTTCAAGAAGACTTTTGCCCGCCTGTAAGTACCTGGGATGGAAGTCTGACTTCTTAGTTCGTCACACATGTTGGCCCATTCGCGGTGTGAAGCCTCAAGCAAGCTCTCGTCTCGCTGCTTAGAATACGTGAGACTGATATCGCCTCGAGAACGGCTCACTTGCCGTGACCAACGGCCGCGACATTCATCCAGTTGTCAACTCACTACTGCGCCTACCGTTTACGATCAAGATTGCCACAAAAGACTGGCATCCCCAAGACCACATTTCGTTCGCATCAAACCACGATGGCAAGCAACCCTTTGTCGATGCCATCGATATCGTCAACCCGCGCAACAGCGCCGAGACATTCCACACCCGCCTGTGGCCAGTGCACTGCGTACAGGGTACGCCCGGCGCAGCCCTGGTGCCGGAGCTAGATGCCTCGGCCGTTGACACTGTTATCGAAAAGGGCCAGAATAAGGACGTTGAGATGTACAGCGTCTTTTACGACCCCTTCCAAGCACCCAGAGTATCCGACAGCGGGCTTGCGGCCTCTCTCAAGGACAAGGGCGTCACGGACGTCTATGTGGTCGGTCTGGCTGGTGACTACTGCGTCAAGTGTACCGCGCTGGATGCCCAGAAGGAGGGGTTCCGGACCTTCATCGTGGAAGAGGGTACCAGACCGGTGGACGCTGAGAAATGGGACGAGTGCAAGGGCGCCCTGGAGGCCAGCGGAGTCAAGATTATCAGCATGGAGGGCCCGGAGGTCCGTAGGGTTGGAGCGGTTGGACGGGGATGAGGGGCCGATCAACGTTGTACTCAAAAGCCGTCTGATGACTTTGACACCGAAACCTCCAGAGCAGAGGCCAACGATGCTTCCGTGTTCCCTCCAAGATAGGTTATGCGATGAGTTCGGGATACATGTTGTTTCAAAGACTGGCGGCGTTTGGGGAACCGCCGAGCTGGGTTTACCAGCATCAGCTTCAATGGTGTATGCTTTGGGCACATGCGTTGACACAGCTCTTCCCCGGTGACAAAGGTGCTGTATTCGCACGCATGGATAGCTTGAGGCGATGTGAGAGGTTACGTAGCTTGGTAACGATGGAACGGTTATGGATTCGTACCTAATCTGTGCTCTCCTCTTTGTCGGCATGTTTAAGATTGGGATTGACTTCTTGCCTTTAGTAAGGCCAAAGCTAGGTATTGTAGCTCGTCAACAAAAGCTAGCAAAGTAGCTTGCCTACTCTTCGGGTTTGGTTCGTAACAGCGAGCGAGCAGAATTGACTGACAGCATGGAGTATCCATAGCGTATTCGTAGACATTCTCAGTTTAGAGTTACAAGGACTTGCTGTGCCGTCGTCGACGTGGTCAGCGATGCTTGGATAGTGGCGGGTCGCGAGGGATCCGTGGCCCCGCGACAGAGCAGCAAGGCCCAGGGGAAAGGGCAGACTCGGGACCTTCAGCTGGTCTATGCAGGCGCAGACTTTCGGGGAGCCAGTGAGGAGGCCACTGACAAGGCTCGGGGAGCGTGGGTGCCAGGTAAGAAACAAAGACGGGGAACAAGGCAAGAAAAATACAGGGAGATCGCCAGGGGTTCGCTGCACAGATCTGACGTTGATGGACGTTGGCGACGAACCTTTGACCGTGACTGGAGCTTCACCGCCGGGCTGTACCCGCTGATGCCCACCAAGATCCGGAAACGTCAAGATAACATGAGAAAGGACCGGGAGGAGGGGGGATTCAAGTTAAGTGGACAGGGGGAGTTTTCGTGCTTCCCTCATTATCAGATCAGGCCCGCGAGAGGGGATAGTCCGAGAGAGGCTAGAGACTTTGAGAAGGCTGGAAGAGGGCAGAGAAAAGTCTCTTGTCTCCCATCTGGGCATTAGAATCTGGATGAATGGCCATGTTGAGTGGCATTTCTCCATCTGGGGAGGCTGGCAGGGGACGGAAGAGTTTTCGACAAGGGGTCTTGCCAATCGTGAGACTAAGGTAGGAATTTGAGTAGAGTCATCTTTCGTACCAGCAGTGAGATGTCGCAGGTGAGGCTCATGCGGCACAGTTATCTATCCGTGATAACGTAAGTCCAAAATGATGCATGAACGGAGTTGAATTGAATTGTTTTGCAACCCGACGGAATTGGGAAACTTCTAGCAAGGAACTTGAGAAAAACGGCGTCTCAAATGCAAGAGCAAAATGCAGTGCCAACGAAAAGCAGCAGGAAGGAGCCATCCACCATCGTTGCACTGCTGCAGGAGCGGGAGACCCACCGCAATTCCAATCAAAGCCGCCTTTCCCAATCGGGACATTTTGCAGGTGTCAATTCTCATTCGATTTGGAAATGGAAGGAAGACTCCATGTAATTACCATGTATCTCTTTCTTTCATGTATCGAGGAAGGCACTGAGGTGCATCTGCAACTACTTGGCTACGGAGAATACCTGAGGTAAGGTAGGAAAACGAAGGAAACCAATCCCAGTGATACACAGTTCACCATCTTCATCTGAGCTCAGGTTTCACTTTGGCTTGTTTAAGGTACCTTAAGGTAGCTCCACGTTCCTCTCACCTCGACGCAATTCAACAGTAAAATGCGGTCTTCCAGAAGCGACTTAACCACGCAGAAGGACGCAGGCCGCACGGCGCACAGATGCAGCAACCCGCCTAGCCCTCGACACATGGAACCAAGGCACCGAACGACGCCTTACCACCGTCCCTGCTGTGTCTGTGGTTACTTTGCTTCATCCGTCTCTTCGGGGCACAGCAGCTGAAGAATTGTCGCAGCAGGTCCCGTGTTTGTAGGTATGACGCGGCGAACAGGCGGCGGTGCTCTTGGAAGTTTGAGAGTCTTGACAAGTTCACAAGGTCAGACCAGACTTCCATTGGAATTAGGCACCAGAGTAGGGTATTCTATGCCAAAGGTAAGATACGAATAAGTGTGGCTGATCTGGAGGTGCCTTATCGGCTTATCCGATTTGGAAGCGAGGTGTGCTGCATGTCTCAATCAGGCCTGATAAGCTGATAAGATGGGTACATTTGGGGAGCAAACATTCAGATCATCAAGCAAACACCACACCTTCAAGTCGAGCAAACTGCATTTGAGGCTGATTTAGCTGGGTCTCAGCTGTTGATCTCTTCTGCAGAACGAAGTCTTTCCACTCGTGCTTCTCCTACGACAATTTTAGACTCTCTGACCGAAAAATCGCAGAGACTAACAGCAGAGCTACATAGTATGGCACATTGCCTATCCATATAGCGAAATAGCGAAGAGCAACGAGTGGATGAGATGTGACGCGCCATCCGTGCGGGTGCGTCGTCTGCAGCTAGGCAGTGCCGTGGCTCCCTATGACACATTCGCTACCACCTTACGTGCGCTTGTCAGGCTGGCTTTGAACATTCGCACTTTGCCCAAGTTGGACCTACAAAGTACAGGCGTTAGTGACGATGGAAGTCTTTAGTGCCCGCCTGGCCTTTCCCAACACTGCGCAAGACGGTCTTAGCGGATGGCAATACCTAAGGTAGGCTGGTTGCTGCCACGAATGGGAGGTGACAGGCGCACCAACCTGTTACTCCCAACGTCTGCCAGCCTCTAAAGAAATAAATGAACGCTACCTTAGACCGTTGAAGCTCACGAATCGGTGCCGGGCACAATACCTACAACGAGAGCACCCTGTGTGCATTTTGTTCGGCGTGATAATAAGACGGTGTGCTCTGCCGTTCTAGGATTAGCGTGCGAGTGAACCTCTCAGAGTACCGCGGTACATCGGCGCGGACCATCATCGGTAAATTTGCATTTGGTGGGGCAGTAGCTAGGTACGTACCTTTTATCCTTGTCCAATTCATCACTTTTTTTTTCTTGCAGTGTTCCTCTTCGGCCCAGAATGGCCATCACTGCTCATCCTCATTGCCCACCACCACAAAGAAAAAAAAAAAAGATACGCAACTTGCGCCAACATGTCGCTGGGATTACCATCATTTCACTTTCCGTCCCAAAGTGGATCCTCGAGATACTTCGTCCGTGACCTGTCTTCCCGCAAAACAACAAGTACCTCGAGCATCTCACCCGTCTGCTCGTTCCCTTCGTTGGCTGTGCCATTGACAAGCATCCGGGTGTCTGGCAACTCTCTTTTTGGTTTTTTGATCTTATTTTCTGTGTTGTTGTTCCCTGCACCTTACTGCAAAGGTACCTAAGTACTGCGTAAGTTAAGGTGGGAGGAACACGAACCATTGCTTAAGCTCGCTCCTGTCCTCTGGTGCCTCTCTCCTATCTTATCCTTCACACCTCTTTTTATCAAGGTCAGGTTGTTGCTCCTTTAACCACAAGGTCTTACCTTATCCTGTCTGTTTCTCTACTCTCTTGATCCTCGTCCCCCCGCTACGCCACTTGTGAATACCTTAGTGCCGTGGTGGTCTCCATATCTTTAAAAGGTACCTGGCTGCCCGTTGCATCGCGACTCTTGATTCTCGTCTTGCTCCTCTCCCTCTCCCCCTTCTGAGCGTTCTTCTCCCCCCCCACCCCTTTTGCAAGGCATCCTCTTCAACAGGAACTGAGCAATCCACTCCCGTCTCCGATTCGAGCACTTCAACAGCTCCTTGCGACTTCGGCTCTCCGCGACCACCACCCTCGATCTCCGACACCATTCGCAACCACCTTTTTAATTTTATTTTGCTCACACTGGTCGTCCCTCTCGAAAACTTCTCTTCCCCCTCCCTCTCGTGTTCGTGGTGTTTGAGCTTTTGAGGCACTTTGCTGCAAAATCTAAACTCCAAAACGACGTCAACGGCGTTGGCTCAACAGGTACGTCCAATACACCCCTCCAATCGGCATTGCACCGCACCGCATCGCACCGCAGCGCGCATCCCACACAATCCCATCCCAACTCCGTCGCCAAAATTCCTCAACCCAAATTCCAGCCAGCCCATCGCTCTCTGCCTCTCTCTCTCTTCTGCCAAAGACACCAACCACCCCTCCGCGTAATTTCGCGCACAATCGCCTCTGGTCCGGCTTCCGAAAGTCCTTCAATCGCTAATCGCAACAAACAGACTCCGCCTTCGTCCTCTTCTCTTCGGTCGTTGTACACCAATGCCTTCCTTCTAATAGACGATCTTGATTCACCGCAACTTTCGCCATGATATCCTCAACACTTCTCCCCCGCCGTTTTCGGGGTGAGCAGCCCGCCGCTCAGGCCGCTGCCCCCTCCTGGGTCAACAAAAAGATCACACCCGCTCTAAAGTTCCTCTCCAAGCTCGCCTGCTCGCACCCTATCCACACCGTTGTCATTGTTGCGGTCCTGGCTAGCACTTCCTACGTTGGATTGCTGCAGGAGAGCTTGTTCGATGCCACCATCAGCGTTCGCACCGCCGACTGGTCATCCCTCGTCGAGGGCAGCCGACGCCTGCAAGCCGGTCCCGAGACTGCCTGGAAATGGCAGAATGTCGAGCCCGAGGCCTCCATCGCCGGTGAAGTCGACCACCAGGCCCTCCTGACCCTCGTCTTCCCCGAGTCTCAGTCTCCTGAGTCGATCAACACCGCTCCGCGCACCCACGCCGTCCCGATTCCCCAGAACCTCTCCATTACCTCGCTTCCCTCGACCTCCAACTCTCTCACCACCTACTCCCAGGACAGCGCTCTCGCCTTCGCCGTACCCTACTCCCAGGCCGCTGAGTTCCTGTCAGTAGCCCAGGAGATTCCCGATGCCACCAGCGACGAGACCGAGACAATGCACGGCAAGGAGAAGAAGATGTGGATTATGAAGGCTGCCAAGGTCCACACCCGCAACAGTCTGGTTCAGTGGGCTCGCAACGGCTGGACAGAGTTCCTCGATCTGCTCAAGAACGCCGAGGCTCTCGACATCTTCATTATGGTCCTTGGCTACCTGTCCATGCACCTGACCTTTGTCTCGCTCTTCCTCTCCATGCGTCGCATGGGCTCCAACTTCTGGCTCTTCACCAACGTCCTCTTCTCCTCCGTCTTCGCCTTCCTGTTTGGTCTGCTCGTCACCACCAAGCTCGGTGTCCCAATCACAATGGTGCTGCTGTCCGAGGGCCTACCATTCTTGGTTGTGACCATTGGATTCGAGAAGAACATCATTCTTACCCGTGCCGTGCTCTCCCACGCTGTTGAGCACCGCCGGCCGCAAGAGAACAAGAATGACAGAAAGTCCAGCAAGAAGTCCGACGTGTCATCCCCCAACGTCATCCAGTACGCTGTGCAGGCAGCCATTAAGGAGAAGGGCTACGACATTGTCAAGGATTACGCCATCGAGATCGGTATCCTCGTTCTCGGTGCTGCCTCTGGTGTCCAGGGTGGTCTCCAGCAGTTCTGCTTCCTTGCCGCCTGGATCCTCTTCTTCGACTGCATTCTTCTCTTCTCCTTCTACACCGCCATCCTG